AAATATTTAGTTGTCTAAGAGTGCATTTACACTGTAGAATGAATACAGTTTAACACTGCTTTAACTGCTGTGGCGCAATACTATGGAATCAAAGGAGTTGTAGTTCAGTGAGGAGCCAGCACTCTTTGACACAGAAGGCTAAAGACCTTGTAAAGCTACAACTCCCTTAATTCCACGGCATTGAGCCATGGCAGTTAAAGTGATGTCGAACTGCATTAATTCTACATTGTAGATGTACCCATAATTGAAAAACAAGATGGAGCCTCCTGCAACCCACTTCAAAAAACAAAAGCCAAATAAACTAGGAGTTGAGTCCCATTTCAGCACTGATGGGAGCACACAGGTCCTCGACCTGTCCTTGATGACAGCTTAGTGCATGCAGGACTGACTGTCTATTGTACAAAGTAATTTTTCCAAACTCTTATTATAGTAGGGATGCAGTTCCTCAATTATTTCATCCTTACGTGGAAGGATAAACAATTGTCTATTGTTTTCTCCTCTTTATGAGAAATTTTTTATGTGCAGTTTATTCCCTTGGTTCAAGCATTCCAAAGCTCTGGAGACTTTCTTTCTGTGCAGAAAAATATCATTTTTGTGTATGCAAAACCCATGTTTCCTTTTTTTTTTTAAAAAAAATAGGGAATATTATTTACATCTGTATTGAGCATGCAGGTAGAATTTTGCAGGAAGGTTATTGTCTGCTATTGTTTTTTCTGATGATGCTAATGGAAAATTTTGCGTTGGATGTCTGTGTACTCCAAGAACATTGTATGAGTGTATATTAGTAATAAAATCAGATAAATAGAAGTTAACATGTTCAGGAAATAGATATTTGAGCTTTCTTATATAATAGACCTTGAAAACCTAGTTTGTCTGGAAAATGCTCATAGGCCGAGGGGCAGAGATGATTTAGCTGTGCAATGAATTGTTCAGAGTTCCCTCATCTTGTGGCTCATTATTTTATCCTAGCCTCTTAATTAAATTGCACTTTTGTAATCTATCCCCACTAATTCAATATATCCATATATAATGTATGGAGGTTGAACTGATGAGAGAAGTTATTCTTGTAAGGGCCATGCCCTGCATGACATGGGCACTAGCGTTACAAACGGATCTGACAGCTCTGTTTACTTTAAAACTGCTTGCTGGGCTTAATTTTTGGTCAGAGTAGTAGCACTGGGATGCCTAAATATCACCTAAAATGTGTCTAAATGCCACCAGATCCTGTCTGATCTTAGAAGCTATGCAGCTTTGGTTAGTTCTTGGATGGGAGACTGCCATGTAATAGCAGGTGATGTAGGCTGCATTTCAGAGAGGAGAACTGACATAACCATCTCTGAGTATTCCTTGTGAAATCCTTGTGAAATTCATGGAGTCATCATAAGATGACAAGCAATTTAATGGCACACATAGTGGCACTGAGAAAAGGATGTTTCTCTCTCTCTCCATCCTGTTTTTTTTTCTGAAATAACCTCTCCGAATGTGCTCTTTGTTCTAAAAATATGGGTATGCTTCTGGTAACCTGTACTTCCCCACAGACTGAACTGTTAATAGTAGCTGTCAGGATAACATAGAGATAAAAATGACATTGTGGAGTGAAAGATTAAATTATTCTCCCTGTTGGTACTTTGATAAAGAATTTGCATTGCTGTTTTAATGTTGTACATGGTTTGCTTTTAAGTGTTTGCAGAGGATTCTGGGATGATTCAATAGCTCATTTTGCAATTAATGTCTAGGAAATTTAGATGCAGCTGAGATAACCTTTGCTTGATCTCTGCCAATCTCCAATTCTGGACATAACAATAAACACATCATATGGTGGTCTCAGTAGAATTCATAGTTTAATTCTGCTAAACCCAGGCAAGTGTTTGCTTTCTGTCCAAAATTTGTACATTTTAGGAAATACAACCAACTAACGTTCTGTATTATCCAATGTAGTCTGCCTCCCGCCTGGATTCACAGCTGTTTCAATACATTGCAATGTTCTGGAGCTAAATTCATAAATACAGGAATTACTACATAACGTTACCATGTATTGACATGCTTATTCTGTCAATTTGTTGTAAAACATGATGTTTTGGAGCTTAATTTGTAAAATCATAATGTAATTTGACGTTTAATAGGCTTTTCCTTAATCCCTCCTTATTATCCTTATTATCCAACATTTTCGCTTATGCAGAGTTCTTCCGGCCCTTTTATGTTGGATAAGCGAGGCTCTACTGTAGATAGAAATGGAAGGCAAGGGCAGCCCGAGCAACCCATGGCTGCTCATGCAACCAAAGGTTCCTGCTCTCTTGTGCTCTCCTGCCACCTGATGCGATGACTTCAAATATTAATGGAATGCTAATTGTGACTCCTTGACCTGCAGTCTTTCCCCTGCTGGTATTTACCATACAATACAGTCCCTGACTGCCTCTCTAGACCTGTTGGGTTCACCAGTTTTTCTTCCTTTTGAGCAATATTTACTGGTTAGTTGTGATATTCTGATCTGCCAAAGGACGGGATCTAATCAGAACAGTATTTGTCCACCTTCTCACTTCTCTTCCAAATCGGTCAACTCAAGGGCAGGAGATATATAATAGGTATGTATTTCTGTGAACAATTCTGTAATTTATGCTGTCATTTCTGCTCACTGGAGTCTGACAGGCCTCCTGCTGGTGATGGTTGGGGCCAGCACTGGTTTTGGCGTTTCTGCGGTTGGGATTAAATAAAATTTAGTCCGTCACTTTCCAGAATATCTGAATACCTTTGATATCAATTGTGGTGAGCAACTTCTAGATTCTTTCTGTGAGGTATAGTCTCATAGAGAGTGCCAGAAAACATGTTTTTATATTTTTGGCTAAAATACAGCTTGCTTTAATAGATTCATAAGTGAGGCTTAAATAAAAGAAACACTTATTTGTATTCTTTGGGACTCTGTTTTGTTTTTACTTTGCTAAAGGAAAAAGAAAATGGTGCTACAAATATTGAGCTTTTGGAAACCTGTCAGTATGTTCTGTTTGATTGATCAATTGTTGAAAGGTGGATGATTGATTGTTTTATCGGTTGACAGTTGTGATTATTTGATTGGCTGACAGAAATCATGACAAGCAGCAGCACACCTGTTCTCTGCCATGTATTTAAGAGTCGAGGTACAGAAATGACCAACATGCAATGTATAGCTATGTAAGATATCCTCAACATAGCTCTTAGAGCAGGGGTCTTCAAACCTTTTAAACAGAGGGCCAGGTCGCATTCCATCAAACTGTTGGAGGGCCGGATTATGTTTTGAAAAAAACCATGAATGAATTTCTCTGCACACTGCACATATCTTATTTGTAGTGCAAAAAACACTTTAAAACAGTACAATAATTAAAATGAAGAACAATTTTTACAAATATAAACTTATTAGTATTTTAATGGGAAGTCTGGGCCTGCTCTTGGCTGATGAGATAGGATTGCTGTTGTTGTGTGCTTTCAAGTCGTTTCAGACTTAGGTTGACCCTGAGTGAGGGTCGGGTAAATGACCTTGGAGGGCCGTATCCGGCCCCCGGGCCTTAGTTTGAGGACCCCTGTCTTAGAGGATAGTCATACAAGTTAAAAGTCGTTGAAGGCTTTCATGGACGGAATCACAGGGTTGCTGTATGTTTTCCAGGCTGTATGTCAAAATAATGCTTCTGGAACATGGCTATGCAGCCCAGAAAACCCACTGCAACCCAAGATAAAAGTCCACTGATATCTAGACATGGGACTGGTTCACACATGTGGGTCAAAGAACACAGTGTCTAAGCAAAAAATAAGAAAGGCAAAAAACCCCACCCAAACAAAACAAAACAAAATCAGAACAGAAGCCCAGTATCAGTATTGTAGCTAGTTTGCTTAGATAGGAATATAAATGTTGCTAAATGTAAACATGGGATTGGGCCATAAAGCAAATATATATTTCTTTTTACCATTATAAACTGTGATATATTTTTTTTACTTTTGTATCACACTATGTTATTAAACCCCCCAACACCATGTTTCTCCTCTTTCCATTGCTAAAATTGTTCCTTTCCAGTGTTTTTCACAGTCTGCGTACAGTGAATAACCTCATTTGACTGCACAGACATAAAAGCAGAGAGTTCCACTTGGTAGCCAGGTGTAAACTTGAATCTGCTCTCACAATCTGTTCAGCATCTGAAGTCCTGCTTCAGAGATACCTTAGCTGGATCCCCCAAGCTGGTCTTACTAGTCATTATGGCTCCCCAGGTATGACACTCCCTCACCATAGAGATTTGGAGGGTTCAACAACAACAACAACAACTATTATTATTATTATTATTATTATTATTATTATTAATTGCACTTATATACTACTTTTCTCACCCCTGGGGGGGCGGGGGGACTCAAAGTGGTTCACAACACAGTAATGGCAAAATTCAATGCCTCACATATTTTAAAATAAAACACTTATCTAAAATACATATAAATATATATTAAAACAAAATAAACTATAAAACAACAGACATGGACATAGACATAAAACAAAGGACATAGCACCAATCCCAAGGTTGTCATTCAACCACTTCCTCACTCCCTCACCATAGAGGTTTAGGTGGTTCAACAACTATCCTTTTCACTCTTTCTTTGGAGTATTAGGAGAGCAGAAAATAGTACTTTTGTCTCCTTTTACTTCCTGTGCTGTCAATGCATTTTAAAATTGACCCAGCTGTTCAAATATTATATTTACTTTTTGCTTTAGTATTTTATTGCATTTTTGTGTGTGTTTAATCTTTGAGGAAGAGATAGGCAAGATAGGAATCTTCAACATCAATAAGTGTTTCATGAAACAAACAGAACAGATGAATGTGAGGATAAGTACTGTATATCTTCTGGTTGTTTAAAGGTTTCTGTGCATCTTTAACTAAAGACCATGTTTTCTACTGCTTCTTCTGAAAGAAGTCACATTTTCAACCTGAAATGCAGAGAATGACTTGCATTTTCTTAAGCTGCTACCATTGTTGTCTATATCCCAATAGGCAGACCAGCAAAGTGGTTTTAGGAATCAAGAGGCCAAAGGAAGATCATCAGAGAAGGAAGCTAAGGCCAAAGGAAGATCATCAGAGAAAACCAATAAACACCACAAAGCAGCAGTTGGACAAGAGTTTCAGCAGGTACTGAGTGTTAACATCACTGGCTTGGCAAATTGCAACATAATAATTGCACTTAAAATTACTAGTTATTATGTGAAGCATCCTCATTATTTAACCTGCTATAGATTTTTAGCTCAGAGTTTGAACATACTACTCCCATCAGGAAAGATGGTTTCACATTAAATTTAGAAATAGAAAGTATAAACCACAAATGCTTTTTTTGTTGTAGTACTGGATGATTCTGGCAGAAAACTGCCAGTCATATTTTAAAACTGCCAGTCATATTTTCAGACCAGTTTCTCGATGGTTGAGAATGCACAGAGTTCTTACCTCTAATGGGTTTGGTATTTAATCAGAAAAATAAGAAAATGCCTTAAAAAAAACTACCGAGACAAAATGTTGCATTTCCTGAACCTTCTAAATTCCCTGTATGTGTTTTACACCCAGCAGGCAATGAGACCGCTTCAGTCAAATATAATCTCTACATCAAACATGCAGAAAGAAGTGAACACTCATCATCAGAAAGTATCTGGTTAGTAAAGCTGTCTCCACCAGCTTTTCTTGCTAAACTAAAATGCTATAGAGCAGTGGTTCTCAACCTGGGGTCTCCAGATGTTTTTGGCCTTCAACTCCCAGAAATCCTAACAGCTGCTAAACTGGCTGGGATTTCTGGGAGTTGTAGGCCAAAAACATCTGGGGACCCCAGGTTGAGAACCACTGCTATAGAACATTAAGTGAAGAACATCCCCAATAGATAACAGGCCCTTTCAAATCTTCAGTGAATATGGAATAATAATACAATAATTCACTTTGTTTATATTCTGCAGAGCCCAATTTCCGATGTTGACTTTAAGATCTCTTGAGGGCAAGAACATCAACTGACTAGAGAGATGATGGGAAAATGACACAGGGCAACTAAATAACCAAATAACCCATGGGCGAGCAGATGACTGGTATATGGCATATGTTCTGTATCTCAAAAACTGGAGCTAATTGAATGAAACTTGTGCCATTTTTGGAATTAGCAGATCAAACATACCAGGAAACAGGGCTAACATTTGGAGCACCAAAATGTGTGTTGGCGAATCCAATCTGATAGTAATCCAACTAAGAATGCCACCATAAACTACAGAAAAACATAATCAATTCCCAGCTACTCTGTCTCTCTTTTCATCAGCTTGTTTGTATTGGACAGTGCCTGTCTCTTTTGCGCCTTGGGAAAAGGATAACTTTTAATGTGAGGCATTTTTCTTATGCAACAAAAACAAAAACAAAACATAGGCTTTAAAAAGATATTTTAAAATTAACAATTTGGAAGATCTTATCAACACATCTTTCACACAACGTCTCTTTCAGTTGTATGTGTGTTCAAGTTATATGTTATGCCTGCAAGTATGTTACTGGTTTTGTGAACTTGGACTATTTGTCAGGCTAAGAAGGAACAGGGTATGCCTAAGTTGTAAAACAACAACAGAAACATCCATTACTTTTTGATAGTTTAAGAAAAAATAGTTGCATTTTCTAACTCTACCCATGTATTCTTTTGGAAAGCCCAATAACACAGCACTATTTGGTCTTTCTTCAAGCTTCAAAGATGATAAAACCTGCTGAGACCAATAAACCACTGACAGCTGAGCTGAAGCTCAATAAATCTCTGCAGAAGGCGAGTATTGTTTTCAAATTCTGTATGTTGAATACTGTTCTCCAATGGCTCCTCACCTCTTCTATATTCCTTTCCCCTTCTTACATTCTCTGTTGGGTTTCTTGACTAGCCAGACACACTCTGGGCTGTATTTTGCTTACACTTTCTCTGCTAAGTCCTGCTACATACCTAACCTGCCTTCAAATACCGTCTTTCAGAAGATATCAAACTATCCACATGGGGGAAAATATATCATAATGTTGTAAGAAAAGGTCATTATATAGCCATCTGTTCTACTTCAGAGTATGGAAAAAGGACAAATCCAGCTGTTCTTTATGCAGAATGAGAAGACTGAGCCACCAAGTGATGTGGTACCAAGGAACCTCCTTTCAATGCTGGATGAGTTGGGAACCTCGGACATTGATGCGCTGGTACCTACTCATGATGACCGAGGTTCTTCTATCCCAGAGTGGAAACGGCAGGTGATGGTGAGGAAATTGCAGGCCCAGCTGGCATCTGAAGAAGGGATGGGCAGGAAGGTACAGTACATTGAATTAACAGATTAGGAGGCATCACTTGATTCTCTTCCTTTATTCACACTATTGACATCTACTATAATGTCCTTCTGTTGCAGTTCAATTGCATTTTGTGCTTCTTTGTATTAACTGGATTGCTTTTGATGAAGTGTCAACCCTTCAACCAAAGGTGCATCTACACAGCAGAATTAATACAATGGGTTGTTAGTTTTTCGGGCTACATGGCCATGTTCTAGAAGCATTCTCTCCTGACATTTTGCCTGCATCTATGGCAGGCATCCTCAGAAGTTGTGAGGTCTGATCAAAACTAGGAAAATGGGGTTTATATATCTGTGGAATGTCCAGGGTGGGAGAAAGAACTCTTGTCTGTTGGGGCTAGGTGTGACTGCTTCAATTGGTCACCTTGATTAGCACTTGATGGCCTGACCGTTTTTAGGTGTGGCTTGTTACTGCATGGGGGAATCCTTTGTTGAGGGGTGATTGCTGTCCCCGGACATTCCACAGATATATAAACCCCATTTTCCTAGTTTCCAACAGACCTCACAACCTCTGAGGAAATCTGCCATATAGCCAGAAAAACCTACAACAATCCAGTGATTCCAGCCATGAAAGCCTTCGACAATACATAAAATTAATACAGTTTGACACCACTTTACAGTTTGATTCAACACTATGGAATCATGGGAGTGTTTCGTCTTCCATTTTTAAAGACTGCTGGTGCCTCAGCCAACTACAGATACCAAGACTGAGTTGTCATTTTATATGAGGGACACTGTTTTACTATGCCATTGTGTATAATAGGATTCGAGCTCCCACAAATTTTGGTATTTATTCATGGTTGTCTGGAACCAAACCCCCAAGGCTCCAATGTACTTCTGTGTGATAAATCACTTATGTGAAGCAACCTCTTACTTGTTTGTGGCTATTTCAGTCATGCTATTGCAACCATGATTGACATCGCTGTATGACTGCTGGGCACTAATTAACACACAAGTACATTTCATGTGGAAACCAATCTATCAATTGCCTATCTGGATAGTATATATTAAATTACTAATTTATCTTAAATAGTTTCTTCTCCAGCTTTTGTTAGAGTCAGCCAGTCCTTAATTAAGGAGAAGCTCTTTAATTATTTTCCTCGTATATATCCAAAGTATCCAACGGAGGAGTTAAAGCATGTTGTCGTGTGTTGGAGATAATTGTATGCGAACTGCACTTGATGATGCCAATGGCAGGCTGGGTTCAGGGGCCTGAAAATTTTTTGTTTGTGTGTGGACAGAACTGGTTATATGATTCTATGTAGTATCCTGCTTTCTTTCTCTCCATCCAGGACAAAGGAAGCTATGCACTGGGGATGGATGACTGGCAGTACTCCCAAATTCATAATGCCATTCTGGGCCCCTATGGGGAGCTACTAACCGAGGATGACCTGCTTTACTTGGAGAAACAGATTGAGCAACTGCAGGTGAAGAAGAAATGCCAGGAATATGAGAGTGAGCTGGGACGGCTGACGGAGGAGCTGCAGGCAGTCCTTCCTGTTCCAATTGTCAGCATCTCAGTCAATAGTCAGTTTCTGCAGCAGGACTCTGAGAAGAACAGCCATGAGTTCCCTGCCTGGTGCAGTCATGTGTCTGGTGTAGTCAAAAGCATGTCCATGTTGCTTACGGGCATCAATGGTATGAAGAAAGAGGAGGAAAATGAGAGGGTCGTTATCAAGCCAAGCAAAACAGGAAGTTTTTCAGGAGGCATGGTTAAAAGGGAAATTCTGGAGTGTGGTGTGTCTGTAAAGGACCTGAGATGTAATTTTGAAAAACAAGGTATTATAGGACAGTACAAACCATTTGGGCCTCGAGAGCAGAAGACAATATCCTGGCAACATGGAACGGGGAGCGAGTCAACTTCCCCAATGTTTTCGGGTATTTGCAAGAGCAAGAGGCAACTGGTCTGTGAGGAACACGAGATTGGAGACCTGGAGAATACCAGTGACTCCGGGATCAGCTGTGAGGAAACCTCATCTGAAGCTTGCAGCTCTCGTATCTCAACTGCAGAGGCTAACACGCTCCGAAAAGAGCGTATTGTGCTGCTTTTTCTAAGCCACTGGAAGAAATCAGCTTATACACCTTCCTTGAAACTCGTAGCTAGGAAGACTGCAGATGCCAAACAACCTGGAAAGGTAGGACTAATGGATGTGATGTCAGAAGTCAAAAAGCAGCAGACTCCCATGCAGAAGTTTCCAATGGAAATGAGCAGACTTGGGCATTTAGTTCAACAGAGATGCACTATCAAGAATCTGATCAGTCGTTGGAAGGATATTATCTCTCTTGTACCATCTCGTCAGATTAGGCGCCTCAATCATCAGCACACAATATATTCTCCAGAGCAATTCCTGCCATATGTCAATGGTGAACCCATAAGTTACAATAGCTTAACCCTCGATCTCTTCATGCTTGGCTATTTCCACATCCTGGAGCTGGACCTCTCTCCAGAAGAGCGGAAGGCAAGGCATCTTCTTTGCTTTGAAGTATTTGACCACTTGGGCAGCCATCCGTGGGATACAGTGCGTGCATTTCATAAAGCAGTGATTAATGAGATTGCTGCAGGCAAACGAAGGTGGAAAGATGACTTCGAAGATATTAAGATCAGATTCTTTGGAAACAGTAAGGCCTCTGCTAAGAATCTGGGACTCTCCAAATCATCAGCAGAAAGAGATTTAAAATCAGTCTCCAAAATGAGGATCCCAAACTTGGCTGTTAAGCAGGAAGAATGTATCCCAGAAATGTATTGTGAACTAGGCCACTTTAGCAATGATGAAATCTGCAGATACATTGACAGGAGCTTTGCTTTCTGGAAAGAAAAAGAAGCAGAAATCTTTAGCTTTGAACGATCAGACTCTTTACATTAGCAGCCTTTAAGTGTGGATAGGAGTAAGATTCAGAATGTTCTACTGAGAAGTTTGCTAGAGCCAATATGGAACATAGCATGGACTAAGGAGACATAGCTTGCTTGTTTTGTGATTTGCCATTTGCTAGATTTGTGAGCTAAGCCAGACTTTGAAAAGCTTGCTTTTTTGGACCACATTCCCAAGAATCTCCTAACAGCAGGTTGGCGGTGGGACTCCAGTAGCTGTAATCTGAAAAAGCTCTGCTACTAAGTTATGGTGGCTACCTCTTAATTGCAGAGCACTGGTTGGAGGAGGGAAGGAAATATTTTATCCTCCCAGTCAAAGTTCTTTAAGTCTTTTATTCTTCCTCAAAAAGCTAGAACAGTTTCTTGCCCAGTGGTTCTCAACCTTCCTAATGCCGTGACCCCTTAATACCGTTCCTCATGTTGTGGTGCCCCCCAACCATAACATTATTTTTGCTGCTACTTCATAACAGAAATTTTGCTACTTTTATAAATCATAACTTAAATATCTGATATGCAGGATGTATTTTTATTCACTGGACCAAATTTGGCACAAATACCCAATACACTCAAATTTGAATACTGATAGGGTGGGAGGCTTTGATTTTGTCTTTTGGGAGCTGTAGTTGCAAGGATTTATAGTTAACCTACAATCAAAGAGCACTTTGAACTCCACCAACAATGGAATTGAACCAAACTTGCCGCACTGTGGACTCAGACAATAATGGATCTGGACCAAACTTGGCACAAAAACTCAATGTGCCCAAATGTGAACACTGGTGGAGTTTGGGGAAAACAGACCTTGACATTTGGGAGTTTTAGTTGCTGGGATTTATAGTTCACCTACAATCACAGCAGGAGGAGGGCTTTTGGAGGAGGGATTCTCTGTCTGTTTCCAAAAAGGAAGGCAAGGACAGGTGGAGAGTTCTTCAGCCTTCTCTGCCAAAGAGGTTCTTAAGACCATCAGAAATGTGTGTTTTCTGATGATCTTTGGCGACCCCTTGCAATCCCACCCCCAGGGGTCCTGGCCCCCAGGTTGAGAAACACTGTTCTAGTCAATTGCTTGGAACCTCCCGGTGGCGCAGTGGGTTAAACACTTGTGCCAGCAGGACTGAAGACTGACAGGGCGGAGGTTCAAATCCGGGGAGAGTGCAGATGAGCTTCCTCTGTCAGCTCCAACTCCCCATGTGGTGACATGAGAGAAGCCTCCCACAAGGATGGTAAAACATCAAAACATCTGGGTGTCCCCTGGGCAACATCCTTGCAGATGGCCAATTCTCTCACACTAGAAGCAACTTGCAGTTTCTCAAGCCACTGTTGACATGGGGGGGAAAAGCCAATTGCTTTGCCCCCCTCCGTAAGTTCCCCGAGACTGGATCTTGGATTTGGAACTCTATAGTGGGTAATTATGAAGAAAAAAAGAACTGGCAAATGAGGCATAGGCGACCTGCCCCTCCCTTAATACCATTATTACACCTGGGGAAAAGTAGAATTGTCAGGACTTCATTATATATGCTTGCAGTGTAATTAGTTCACCTTTAAATGGGAGATGAATAGGCCATGTGTGATATTGGGGGTTTTTTTCTTTCATGTTTGTTGTTCTTAACTATTATGTTCTGGCAATGGATAGAGTTATACACTTTCACAGCTGGTGAATTGTCAGGTGTGTATTGGAAAGTAGTAATCTGACCCTGTCAGGAAGTTAAATTTACATATTTAAATAATTATGAGCCTTACAGTTCACAAACTGCAAAGATCTCCATTTTCTAGGCTCTTCTCAATATGTATGACAAAACAATTTATATGGGTGCTTCTCCTGTGTTGCAGTTTTCATGCAGATACTCTTCTACAATAATTTCAAAGAGTCCATTTCATTCATCTGACCACTTTTTCAATGTCATAAAAAGTATTAGTGAGAAATTTCTGTTTTTGTTACAATGCATCAATAATGTGATCCAACTAAAATATGCTAACAAATATTTCTCTTTAACTTTGTCTTCAAAATCTATGCTACTCTGTACACTTCATAATCTAAACAACTGAACTGATATCTGAATATAAATATTTCATTTTGTTTTTAATAACACTTGCTTTCTTTTCAAATTGTTTAATGTTGTTTGATACGAACATTTCTCTCAGTACAAGCAAGAAGTTTCATCTTGAAAAAAATGCTAAAGGAACGTGTTGTGTTGTTTTCTTTTCATTTAGCAAATGAAATGAAATGACGATGGTCAAAAAAGGGGCCAATCTGTTACAGGTTGTTGTAAAAGTTAATAGGATAGCTTTGTATGGAACACTAACAGAAAAAAATCCCCCTTTTCAATGATTTTTTAGAGGAACAAGGAACACTTAGGCCCCGTCTACACTACCTTCAAAAATTCTGATTATCTTCTTTGAACTGGATTATACAGCAATGTAGACTCATAATCCAGTTCAAACCAGACAATCTGTATTATATGGCACTGCAGAAGGGGCCTTAGATTGTACCGTAAAGTCTCTATACCACTGCTTCTGGTCATTTTGAGTAGCACTTATCTACATGTCCTCAACCCAACCCCCAATACTCTTTCTCTATCCCAGACTACAAGAGAAATACAGATCACTGAGAAAACCTATAAGATGAGGTCCAATACTTCAGCAACACATTTCTCTTTGTTGTTGAGTGCTGTCAAGCCAACGCTACCTCAGTATGACTCTATGAATGAGAGACTTCAAACTTGTTCTCTCTGGAGAACAAGTTTAACTTCCTGCTTGACCCTGCAAACCCAGACCTTGGGCAAGTCACTTTCTCTGAGCCTCAGAGGATGACATAGAAAAACTACTGAACCAAATTTACCCCTCGTCAAAAAAAAAAAATCTGTGATAGGGTCACCATAAGTTGGAAATGACTTGAAGAAACATAACAAAAAATGAGTTATGTCTTCTCAGAATATATCCAATGTATGCCAGTGTCACTTTAGCTCTCTTGGCTTCCAGGGAGAACTATGGTTTAATTTGCTTTAGGACCCATTTATATGTTTTTTTGGCAGTTCAGGATATTCACAGAACTGCCCTCCAGGATCACATTTCAAAAGAGCTTCCAATTAGCATTCTTCCTGTCCAGCTTTTATGATACATAGAAATCAAAAACGCCATGGCATGGACAATCCCAATTTTACACCTTGCTTAATTCCTTCATAGCTTCTCTTCCAATTCCCAGTCTTCTGATTAGTGACTGTTCACTTTCTATTTTGATTAAAGAGGACGCTTCCAGACAGCACCAAATTGAGGATTGAAATCAAGGGCAAAAAATCCCAGGACTTTAGAAGAGGTCTACATACAGACCTGTTGGTCCCGGGATTTCTGCCTCCATTGTCCACACTTGCTGCTTCATTGTGGGATTTAGAAACCCCCAACATGGCCATTGCAGGACTTCTGCCAGAAATTTCAGCAGTTTTTTTTTAAAAAAAAAACTTAAGATGTCAACATGCAAAGGTGCGAATCATTGTATAAGTTACATCCATGGGTTATATAAACTGCAGGGTCATTTGTGCAGACAGGGTGTTTTTCCTGGGTTATACATGTCTGTTCCTGATTGCTCTTATTGTGAAAAGATGTGCAACATTGACTAGGGGGCCACAACTTTGTCTTGGCCAAAGAAAATGTGCCCTCCATATTCATGAAGTTTCTGGCACACAAATAAAGTTTTCACATTCTGCTCCACTGTCACTTTCTTTTTAGGAATTGACTAATCAGGAACAAATATCTAAAACCTGGGAACAAACCCAGATAAAAAAATTCCATGTTTTCCGATTGCATGGATATACAGACATTCGAAGATGCAGATTTTCAGCTCAGAACCAGGATATTCCTGCACCTGAAAATCTCATATATTTTGCCATTTGTAGTGCTTTCTCCTGAGTTTTGAGGGATATTGTCTGGTAACCCTCCTGCTTGCTGGGTCAGCTCCAGGGATAAAGGGCTGTCTGGACGGGCCCTGAGTGATCAAAATGATAATAAACGTTTAATCATTTCAATGTCCTTATTGTCTACATTAAACTTATGTAGATCATCAGTCACTGCTTCCCATTTTCTTTTGCCTTTCTCTACCTGTTAGTTTTTAGACACAATGGATTCCGACCATACAAGGAAGCACTTGTATTATTGGATCTTTAGTCCCTCTGGGGACAAATTTGGTTTAGAAAAAATAACTTTAACGTAATATAAAAAATAAAATTAAAATGTGTCTGCATATAAACAGTGACATTCTGTATGAATCCCTGGTTTGCCCTGGGAATGAATGTCTTAGATAAAATTAGTGTCAACTTAACTAATTAATTCAATTTAGAATGCCAACAGCAATTAATTGTTCCCCTAAATTCTCAGATATAATATTATTGAGCTAATTTGCAGACCAATGTTCCAATGTTCCAGTCTTATCCATGCATGTCAGAGCAATTCAGGGGTAAGTTTTTAATGAATCCATATGGAAAACGGAGACAAATCTCTGCATGCTGAAAAGAGAGTGTTCATTTGCAAAATGCTCAGTGTGTTTCACCCTGTGAAGACTTTCTTCAGGAGGCCATTTCAAATCAAAGTTACAGAAAGTTTTGAGCTGTCAGGCTTTGAGGCAAATACACCATATTTTTTCAACAGTCTGAGACACCTTTAATTGGCAGCAGCCTACTTCATCAGATCATGATTTTTATAGTCATCAGTGATTATGAAATTCTGTACAAGGAAGAGTCTGATGGTCTCCACTTGTCAGGCTGTCAGTTACCTTGAGAAGCATATACAATTCCTTCTGCTTGCCTAATGCCATATCACTGCGAATAGAAAACGATACCCTTGCAATCCCTCTGTGACTGCTTCACGAGTTTATTTGTGGACATTCCTGAGGAAGGAGTGAGGTGTTACACAGGGATCCCAGTGCCAAACTCTTGATACAAGTAGCGAGCTGGACTATATTTAGAAAACAATCATGAAAAGTGCAGACAGATTTGCAAGAAAGAAGAAGAGTAAGTGCTTGTTTGAATCATTACTGCATGACTAAGATGAGGCTATTGTCCCTGCGTTTTTTTTACAGTTTCCAAAAAGTTTTGTGCTGTTCATTTTCTGTCCCCTTGCTGGGAATTTTTGGGTCTCAATTTCCAACATTCATTACCATACTGGTTAGGAGCTGCAGTCTAGCAACATCTGGAGAGGTACCTTATTTCCAGGTGTCTCTCCAGATTATTTGTTAATTGTGTCCTGTTCATACTTCCAATTCTGTGCTTTCTGTTAGATAATTGTTGTAACCTTTTCAGATTTTCCTGAGTCAAACAGGACCATTACCTGGATTATACGTGCCTGTGCAAGTGCTGCAAACTCTGGTAAATTATTACAGATGATATTGCTCATTCTCTGGAGTAACAGAAGACAGACTTGTTCCATTTTCAATATGTCATCCTTTCAAACATGCCTATCATATACCGCGAAAAACCTTCTCTTCTCCAAGGAAGACATACCCAGCTCCTAAGATTCTTGTCATAGGGCTTGGCTTCCAGACCTTTTACCATTGTCTTTGAAATATTGGAGAGGACAATGTTCAAATTAATCCCGTACTCTGAATGCCTTGAATAGGGCCAATGCCCTAAAGCAGGGGTCCTCAAACTAAGGCCCAGGGGCCGGATGCGGCCCTCCAAGGTCATTTACTCGGCCCTCGCTCAGGGTCAACCTAAATCTGAAATGACTTGAAAGCACACAATAACAACAACAATCCTATCTCATCAGCCAAAAGTAGGCTCACACTTCCCACTGAAATACTAATAAGTTTACATTTGTTAAAATGTTTCTTCATTTTAATTATTTATTGTTTTTAAGTGTCTTTTGCACCACAAATAAGATATGTGCAGTATGCATAGGAATTCATTCATGTTTTTTTTTTCTAATTATAATCTGGCCCTCCAACAGTTTGAGGGATTATGACCTGGCCCTCTGTTTAAAAAGTTTGAGGACCCCTGCCCTAAAGCAACACAATGTCAGAGGAATTATGGGAAGTTAAAATGGCACCTAGTGCAGAGGAGCAACCACTTGCCAAATGCTACCTAAAGCCTTTGTCCTGTTCATGCCTAACCCAGCCTTCTTTCTGCATCCAATGGATGGAGGACTTCCTCCCAGTCTTTTCTGTATCTTCTCATTGGAGTGTTGCTTTAAGAGCAGGTGGCCTGGGGCATATAACTGTCACAGCACTTCCCATCCCTCACCCGCTCTAGCAAGGAGCTAAATTTATATATAGATAAATAGATACACATACAGTTGGTTGCCACCCACAGCCTACAAACACTTCGTAAAGTCCTATTCAAGCCAGCAGTTGACTCCCAGGAACAGGGCAAGCCATCCCCAGTCATTCTCTCAAATCAAATTGGCTGAAGGAAGAGAACGAGGTAAGAGATGGGGTTTGGTTGGTTTTGGTTTTTGGAAGGGCTGCAAGAAAACCAAGTACTGTTTGAAGCCATCAGTATGGGGCATAAAGAAGGACCATAATTCGAAGTTCTTTCCACCTAAAAAGCAAATATCAATCTTCTCCATCGGAGATTAATACTACGCAGCATTAGTGAAGAAGCAATTTCTGGACTTTATATAGAAGGAGTGTTTGTGATAACATTCCTTCTACAGAGGCATTCTTACTGGGATTTCTGTTAATGATCGTGTTTCCTGTTTAGCATAGCACAGATTCCAACTTAGAAATTCCTTTTTTGAGGATTAATAGAAAGATGCCATCCTTTGCATTTTAAACAGAGCTACTGTCAGCTGGTATGGAGCACAAGGCAAGAGGTGTGATTGAAGATCCACTTCTTACATCTTCCCACAAACTGTTACCGCTTTCTTTCAGTTTTTCAGTGACAAATTCAAATAGACTGAGCAAGATAAAAGATGAAATGAAAAACATTTATCTGAATGGTGTTGTTTATTTTAAAAATAACACTGTTCACAAATCCAAGTGAAAATAAATAAATATAATGGTTTCAGGACACTACTTACATTATAACTCTCCACCCTTATTTATGTGATCGGTATCTTTGCTATCATTTATCCTCATCTGACAAATTGTGTTCCCTCATGGCATTTCCTGGGTTTTCCAGCATGACTGAATGATATTTGGAGGCCATAGATCCTATATGTTGATAGGGTTCATTATTATCTGTGGTGTCCTATGTCCATGCAAAGCCCAGGAACATGTTCACCTTGGATACAGTGATCGTACTATACTAAGTAATTAACAGTGTTAATACAGTTGAATGAAAGTACACAACTTAAAACTGATCATCAGTCACGCATCTCAGTACTTGCAGGCTTTCATATTAGCAAATGTTCCAGTTAGGGCCTAGCAGTACTGATCTTGTAATACAAGTTGTATTTGGCCAAGTCTGAATCATATTAGTAATTGTTGGTGCTTGTACAAGACTTGAGATTTAACACACAGGACAGTTTATTCTCTGGTCTGTTCAGTCTCCAAAATGTTGTAATGTGTTTGTTTGCTTGGTTTTTCATTGTCCAGGTCTTTGTAGATCTGGCCCCTCCTAAGGAATGAAAAATGTAATAAATAGAATCATAGAGTTGGAAGGGCCATGCAGGAAACCCCATAAAAGCACTCATGATATATGTCAGGCATCAAAAACATGCATGTATTTCAGGTAATGTCATTGATTCAGAAGTGTCACTAGGGACATTTCCTTTTTTTTTTTTTGGAACACAACCTTTATTCTGTTCTTTTCTGCTTTCTGACTAGGATCAGGGAAATATTATTTTCCATTGGTGACACTTAGGGTTACTCATCACAGAAGAAGGAGAGCAGAACACAGCCATGGTGAGGAACATAGATGATTTTGATTTTTGTCTTCCATCGCATCCTCAGTCCATTTTGGAAGGGCTTAAGACTTTACGCTCCAACCCCAAATTCTCAGATGTCACCTTGATTGTTGGGGGACATGAATTCCTCTGCCATCGCAGTATTCTGGCCCTCTGTAGTCACTACTTCAATGCCATGTTTGCTGGTGACTTCCTGGAAAGCTTTTCAGCCCGGGTAGAAATCAAAGATGTGGATCCTGCTGTTATGGAGTCCTTAATTGACTTTGCTTATACGGGGAAGGTGACCATCAATCAGGGAAATGTAGAGGCTCTGATTCGGACATCCAATCAGCTCCACTTCCCCACCATCCGGAAAGTTTGCAGCCGGTACTTACGACAACAGATGGATGCAACCAACTGTTTAGGAATTTGTGAGTTTGGGGAGATGTATGGCTGTCCAGAAGTATCATCCAAGGCTTGGTCATTTCTGCAGGAGAATTTTGAGCTTGTGTCTCAACAGGAGGAGTTTCTTCAGCTATCCAAAGAGAGGTTGGTGACCTACCTGTCCAACAATCTACTACAAATGCAAGAAGAGCAGAGCCTGGTTGAGGCTGTGCTCAGATGGGTGAAATATGAAAAATCTGCTAGAGCCACCCACCTTCCCGAACTCCTTGATCTAGTGCATCTGGTTTCACTGCCAGATCAGTATCTGCAGGACCTCTTATCACTGGAACCACTGATTCAGGAATCAGAAGCTTGCAAGTCCATCATCACCAGACACCGCAGCACGGTCAGTTCTTGGAGACACCACAACCCCTTAGACTAGGTTTCAATCCTAAAATTAGAAAAGGTGCCATATGGTCCAATACCTATAAGAAATATAGGGGTTTCTGTAGCTGGAGAATATTCTTCTTACTATGCAAGAAACCATCATCAATATTAAGCGGCTACAGTGTATGGGATGTTTTAGCTGAAAGTACTGTGAACTAGCAGCCGTTTAGACTTTTGGCTACTAACCTGAAGAGGCTGAACCATGAGGCTGACGACTCCTATTTCTGTGGAGTTGTGAATCCTCTTCAGGTTTTAGTGTGAACTTTAATTGTTTCACCTTCAGTTCAGCACTGTGGATAGCAGCATTTAAAGCCTGGTCTAAAACCAGCAGTAAATTCAACAGTCCACTGACAGCAGAGCCACCAGTCTTCTCTGAGTACCCTTCTACACAGTTATATAACCCAGAATATCAAGGCAGATAATCCACAATATCTGCTTTGAACTGGGTTATCTGAGCCTACACTGCCATATAATCCAGTACAATGTGGATTTTATACAGCTGTGTGGAAGGGGCCGAGAGGCTGAGAAACTAGTTGTGGGGAAACAGTGTGCTCATTTCTTCTTCAAGAAAACTCACTGTAGTTAATTAATCAGTTATGGACTATTACATTTGATAGTTAGCAGAAGACTGGAGAATTCCTGTACATTTCCTGCTCAGTTTTCTCCTCTCTCCATCTGTTACAAAAGCAAGGGTCTTTTCTCTAGTTTTTCACAAATTAATAGCCTCCAGGAGATGGGGAACATTTTCGCACCTGTTCACTGTAGAAGTTGGGAAAAAGTCATTCATCCAGATTGCCCTCTTCCCTCCTTTGTCTCTTCCACATCAGATAAGAGTATTGATATTTATATATGAAATAAGTGATTACTAAATAAAAGTATATTCTTCTATCAAAGAATTAGTAAACCAATTTCTCATATATAAACAACATGCCACACTTTAGGTAACAATTTGAATGAAAGCAAGGGTTGTATGTAGTTAGAGACCTGCTCTAGTGAGTTGGGTTGAAGACTTTATTGGTCCACAAAATTCAGTAAGTGATGCTGAGCCAGTTACTCTTTCTGATACTGTCTTATTTCATAGTGTCATTGGGGGGGGGGGGGGTAAAGGAAGATGGGCTGAAGGAAAGCCATATATGTTTCTTTGAGTTCCTTGTGAGACAGGATCACAGGAAGAGGAGAAAGAAGATGCCTCCAACCTTATGTTGAAGCACCCTGACCTACCGATTCCAACAAATGTAATGATATATCCCATAGGAACTTTCTGTATTTTTTTTACTGAATACCATGATATCACTTTTATATATACTGTGGACCATATGGGAGAAGGAGGCAGAGGAGGATGAGAAATTATTAGCTCTCAATGTTGTGACAGTGGTTTTCTATCATCTCTTAGGTAGAGAACAGACCTTTTGTCCAGCAGAGACTAAAAGCCCTTCCACAAAAGCTTGAGGAGGTGCTGGTGGTGGTGGCAGGTAGAGCTTTGGAAGAGGATGATGAAGAAGAAGGACAATCACCACCACCAATTTCCAGGAACTTTGCCTTTTATAATACCAAAAAAAGTAAGTGTCTGGCATCAAATAATGCCAGAACATCCCCTTCTTACTCAGAGCATATTTAAGTTGGGGCATAAAAACACTGAACACTGACTGTCATTACATTGTTACACCAAAACATTGTTTCTGGGCACAAGTGTTCTATAAAGCCCTATGTGGATTAGGCCTAGACTATCTGAAACCCCGATTTTCCCAAACAAACCTCCCAGGGCTCTAAGATCTACAGGAGAAAAGATCTACATGGACTCACACCACCATCACAGGTTCGCGTGGTGAGGATATGAGAGAGAGCCTTCTCTATGGCTGCTCCCACTCTCTGGAACTCTTTTTCACAGGAAGCTAGTCTGTTCCCATCCTGGCTCTCCTTTCTCTGGCAGGTTACTGGCTGTTAGGAATTGTGGGAGTTGAAGTCCAAAAAACCTGGAGGGCCCAAATCTGCCCATGCCTGCTCTATAGGGTTGGCCTAGTGCTATCAACAATTTTATAATGTATTTTGTTAGTCAAGGAATTAGATCTTTCCGTATACTGTGCATCATATAATAATTAAAAGAAATAGAAAGACTCATATACTTTTAAATCAATTATATAAAACACTTTATATGATTCACACCCATATTGTGTAAGAGGAATGCTAATATTGGCAGAATCAACCATGGCTTAGACTTAAATCTGGAATTATGTAGTCTCTGGCAAACATGAGATTTCCAAATGATGTCATTGCTCTACGTTTCTTTGGCGTTTGTCACTGCTGAGCAGCTGCCTTCATCCGAGGCTGACGTTGCCATCAGACTGTCAGACAGTGGGGGGAACGAATTTAGAGGGGAGGGAATAGCAATCTGAGTGAGACCTTTGGCATCTTTGGCACAGTCTGGGCAAGATGATGCAATTGGAGTTCATTTTCACAACCCTGTGAACATAGAAACGGTTAATGACCATAGATAATTACCTCTAAGCATATGCAGCTATGAGCACAATGATTCCAATAAGGAAATTCTCAGATTTTTTTCTCACCAAAGTAATGTGGTTGATTGGGAAATCCATAAGTGAATCTTAATTTTACATTTGCTCTAACCTTGGAATTACAGATTGGTAATTTCTTGACTGAAGATAGAACAGTGGTGTAATTGACACTGCAGTGGTGTGTCTTCTCCATTTATGTAGCCCACCAGGATAGCATCTGTATTCTTGGGCACACATAATGGTGCCTAGGATGCCTAAGACCCAACTTTCTAAGGATATTATAGAGAGGGCAATTCTTAGAATGATGATATACTTACACTGCTCTGAGTCAGTGCTCTTTTTCAACACTTACACCAAAGAGAAGTGGAACTGACTGTAGTATATGAATATTTTCCCCACAGTGAAGGCCACACACACATTAGAGGTTGCAGTCAGCCAGTGTCAGAGAAGAATAAGAGGCAGAATTGGCCCTGAATTCTTCTCCTTTATTTGTCCTTCTCCCTATGCCTTGGGCTTGTCTAGTAGTTAATAAATTGAATTGTTCTAGACAGTGATGGATAGTGCCTCATATCATCTCTAGATAATGATGGATAGTGCCTCATATCATATTGAACATTATGGCCGAGGTTGATGGGAGTTGTGCGGCTCCAGATATTGGAACCCCAGTCCCTACTACTGTTTCATTCCCAGTTCCTACCACTGTTGCTGATATTGATCCCCTATTACCACTTGGTGATCTCATACAACCCAATTATTTCAGTACCACTTATATTCTGATGCCCAAGTCTCCCTGCCTGTGTCTAATGCAGTGGTTCCCAACCTGTGGACCACCAGTGTTCCCTAAGAACAAACATATGATCCACAGCTTCACCATTACTACATTGTTGCCTCAAATCCACATGGCAACGAGAGCGACTGGTCTCATGGAACCCTCTTATAATGCCGCGGCAACAGGGATGTCAGGAGAGGAGAGGGTGACTACACATGGAAGATTATTACTACCACATCAGCTCTAGATTATTAAATACGGTTTTCTGTGGGTGAGCAGATGGCAGCTACTGGATGGCATATGTTCTGTATCAGGAACTAGAGCTGATGTGGTCTATCAAATGCAATTTTCTGAATCAGCAGCCCAAATAATCAAACCTAATCTAAAGCCGACCAAAAACTGATTCATAACCCTTTTGATACTAATGTTGTAGAGTGGTCCCTGGTGAAGTGGTCCCTAGTCAAAAAAAGGTTGGGAACCACTGGTCTAATGTAAGCCTTGATTTATCCACTTGGCTGTCTCTCCACCATATGAGTTTAGTATTTCCAAGACTGAACCAGGTCTTTTCCTCCCAAGCCTTTTTCTTCTCATTGTCTCTCTTTATCAGTTGATAACAATTAGCAGTCCTCCATTTGACAGTTTTATCTTTTTCTGTTCTTCCCTCTTCTTTAACCATTATATTCAGTAATTTGCCAAGCTGTATCACTTCTCTCTACATTCATGTAGTCCACAATTCTCACTTTCCAGGTCCAGGAATGAAGGCATCTGTGCAGAAGCACCTTGATCAGACATGTAGCCGGGGGGGGGGGGGGGGGGGCTTGAGGTGCTTCAGCCCCCCCCCACCCAAATTCTCATGGTGGTTCGCGAAAAGGCCTTACTGGTGCATTATTTAAACTGTTATGTTTATTCATATCATGATCTGATCACCATACTCAATATATCCCATATGCATGGGGGTATTGGGGTAATGATACAAAAGTTTGCTAGGGTAGACCCTCTTTCACTCAGACTCAGCCCCCCCCCCCCCCCCCCGAAACTCAGCCCCCCCCAAAACCCCCAAAAAAAACTCAGCCCCTCCCCCCCCTCCGAATTGAAATCTGGCTATAGGCCTGACCTTGATCATGTTGTGGAAGGCAAGGATCTTGGGGAAATCAGAGCAGTTAGCCAGTTATAACTGACTGACGACTGCTTATACTTAATTTTTTCATTTCAGAAAATTGGATTGCTCTGCCGGATTTTCCTGATTATAATAAATGGGGCTTTTCAATGATTGCTCTGAACAATGATGTTTATGTTACAGGTGAGCCTAGTGCTTTTCTCAATTAATGTTACCATTAAACTTGGATTTTTTGTGTGGATTCTACTGGCTTCTTGGGTTTATTTGCTTGTTTGGGTTTTTATAAGTTTTTTGGGCTATATAACCATGTTCCAGAAGCATTCCCTCCTGATGTTTTGATCTAATATAAGGCAGTGTCCTATATTCCTTGTTTCTGTCTTCAGGTGGCTCCAGAGGCTCACAAAATGACACATGGTCCACAACCCATTCCTGGTGCTTCTCCCTGAAGAAGGGTGCCTGGAAATCTATTGCTCCAATGCTGAAGCCCCGAACAAACCATGCCAGTGCTGTGCTCAATGGAGAGATCTATGCCATCGGTGGTAGGCTGTAATTCAGGGCCCTTCAAGACAGACCCTATATCCCAGGATCTGATCCCAGCTTTTCTTTTTTAAACCGGTTTATATGAGTCCGCACTGCCAAATAATCTGGGATAAACAGAAAACCTAGGATCAGATCCTGGGATTTAGGGCCTGTTTGGAAGGGCCCATAGAGAACAAGACACGGGAACGAGAGAGGGCACTGAGGGAAATCTGACACAGCAGTTATTCAGATCAGCCAAGAGATTTCTAGCTGCACTTCTTTTGCATCCTTCACTAGTGGGAAATGGATGGAAGAGCTGGAAATAGGTGGTGTGTCTCACAAGGGAAAAGCTACTAGCAATTAGCAAAGGACCTCCCATGACTGGAAGGTTATGAATGGGTTGTAGACCCACTTGCCAGTCTTTCTCTACAAAAGGTGGGAATGAAGTGAGGGATGGGGGAGAGAAATTCTGACCCTGTGGTTATCAGACCTGAAGAAATGACAGTTATAACAGAAAACCTAGTGTTAATTGTTAGAGCAATTTGACAGTCTCTTGTTTAGGTAATGACGGAAATTAATCCAGCTTTGTTAGAAATACAGGTTGCATGAAAGTACATTGCCATGTGGGTTAACAAGGCGCTAATATTGCTCAGTTCATGTGACTGAATACTCCTGTAAGATTAAAAAATACTGTCATATTTCTCACATGGTCTGTAGGCACCACAGTGGACATTGTGGAGGTGGAGTGCTATGATCCTTATAATGACAGCTGGTGTTTTGTCAGTCCTGCCCTGAAGTACGTCAGCAACTTTGCCGTATCTGGATGCCTTGGCAAGCTATACCTGATTGGCTCTTGTGCTGTCAAATACAATGCCTTGACACTGCAGTGTTACAACCCCTCTATTGGTAAGGAACTGAGACAATCTTGATTGAAAAGCTTTCCCAAAATACCTGCAACTTAGGCCCATTGAGTGGCCAAATCTTTTTTGCTTATGTTTTTGTCATTATGGGTCTTGAAACGTAAACCCATCACCTTCCCCCACATATTCACTGGAATGGAAAATGCCTGTTATGATCAGTAATGACTGGTGATCTGGTGTCAATTAGTTATTAAGCTGTTTCAGATTTTATTACAAACTTTGAGCAAGTTGTCTATACTGTTGCTTCTATTTTAGGGGGAGGGTTTAGCACTTTGGATACTTCCTTAAAGTTCAGACTGAAAGTGGGATCAGATTCACCAGTCCATTGACATTCAAATCGCTGGTCATGAAGATAGCGTGTGCAGACATGTATGCTTTCTTACATCAGTGTGATCCATAGCATCTGCTATCAGTGAAAGTGAGGTTCTTAGTGTCAGTAATGTTCTCATTACAATAATATTTTCAAGTGCAGTGTTTCCATTCTTCACTTATGAGCAAATGCCAAGCATTGTAGGTTTTTCAGGCTGTATGGTCATGTTCTAGATACATTCTCTCCTGATGTTTTGCCTGCATCTGTGGCAGGCATCCTCAGAGGTTGTGAGGTCTGTTGGAAACTAGGAAAATTGGGTTTACATATCTGTGGAAAGTCCAGGGTGCGAGAAAGAACTCTTGTGTGGTGGAGGTAGGTGTGAGTGTTTCAATTGGCTACTTTGATTAGAATTTGATGGTCTTTAGGTGTCACTTGTTCCTGCCTGGGGGAATCCTTTGTTGAGAGGTGATTAGTTGTTCCTGATTGTATCTTGTCTGGAGTTCCCCTATGTTTCAGTTTTGTTCTTTATTTACTATTATAATGTTAGAGTTTTTAAATTCAGGGCACCATTCAGATAGTGCAACATTTCTTCCCAAACTCGGGTTGAACACAGTCATGAAGTACTGTAGGAGGAGGAAAAGTTTATGGTGTGCATGTCCCTGCACTGACACACAGCTCTGAATATTATGTATCTCAGTGCTTCTTAAGGTATCTGAATCTGGCATGTTTCTTTCCCAATGTGCCAGGGACCAGTATCGTGTTTGTACTCATTGATTGCAATGTTTCTTTCCTTCATGGAAACTCTCCAGAGACCAGCAGCTGATGGCTTTGGATTGGCACTGGGCCATGGGCAACCATTTTTTGAGTGCTGAATAGCTAGTCCTACATCTTCTTGGTTTCCTTCATTCTTCTGACTCAGTCGTATAATTGCTCATCATGGCTGATAATCCAGTTGACTATATCTACACATGCTATAGAATCAAAGGAGTTCAGTTTTTACAGGTTCATGTGGTGTCAAACCTTGCTATAGTATGTAATAAGGACAAGATCAATAATGTATGGTTGTGTAGAGGATTGGCTGTTCCTTATTATAATGTGATTACGTATTATAATATATGCGAGAGCAATATTATATAGCCATGTAGAGGAGCGGATGATCCTTATTATAATATATAATAAGGACAGGATCAGTAATATAGGGTTATGTAGAGGATTGGCTGCTCCTTATCACAGTATTATATATTATATATTATAATGCAATACATTATAATACTACTAATACTAATATGATATCATAACTATAAATTTTATATGATATGTAATATTACTAATAATATTGCAATACAATAGTATAGTACAATATAGTAATATTTAATACTGATATTGTGCTATGCTAATAATGTAATATATTGTATGTATATATATCTTGTAAGCCACTCTGAGTCCCCTTCAGGGTGAGAAGGGCACCATATAAATGTCATAAATAAATAAATAAATAAATAAATAAATGAAAGTCACAACCAGACTTTCAAGGCTATTCATTTGTCACAATATTTAGAAACTCTGTTAGTGTCAGTTTATTCCTTGTAACTGGTAAATGTATTAGGTGCAATATGACTCAAGTTCTGTTTGCTTGAGAGGGTCCTTGGATAATAGTCATGGGACATGAGTACACAATATGACAAACAAGTTCAGCACTTCCATTTCTGTCCTCAGTGATGTTATCGAACTGAAATGGATGCTGATCAGCCCCAGCTCATCTCAGCAGGTGATGTTTCACACTACACAAATGTCGCAATATATTCCAATTGCACTGGTGTCCTTCTGTGGAATCCTGGGATTTGTTGTTTGTTGAGGCACTAGAACACTAAGGATTCTAAATATCCCCCTCTAAATTGCAAAGTCCAGCTAGAATTATAGGAGTTATAATGGGATCATGGCACTATAATTGTGTCATGTGAAATGGTCCCAGACCACATTTCAAAGCTTGATGATGCTCCGGAATTTCATAAACGGAGTCAACTTACCTGTTGTTTTTATCTTCCCAACATATTGGGCTAGCAGATATTGTTTTTAGAATTGTAGGGTTTTCTTTTACTATTATGATTTATTTTAGGTGTATTTACTTTTCATCTATGTTGTAAATATACAACCGTGACCAATGCAATGATGGTGATGGCAGAAATGGTGAAGAAATATGGCAAAATTAATAAGCGGAAATGCAGGATAGCCTGCTGTTTCACAGGCACTTGTTTTCTATATTAGGGTTGTCAGGCCAAGACTATCCCAGGCCTTGAAATTCATGGCCAAAATCTGCAATGTAGGGACAACCACTTCTAAGGCTCTGGTGGTATTATAGGGATAGGAGCCCCTGGTGGCACAATGGTTGAAACCCTTGTGCCAGCAGGACTGATGACCGACAGGTCAGTGGTTTGAATCTGGGGAGAGTGGGTTGAGCTCCCTCTGTCAGCTCTAGCTCCCCATGTGGGGACGTGAGAGAAGCCTCCCACAAGGATGGGAAAGCATCAAAACACCCAGTCATCCCCTATGCAACGTCCTTGCAGACAGTCAATTCTCTCACACCAGAAGCGACTTGCAGTTTCTCAAGTCGCTCCTGACATGAAAAAAATTGTAGGGATTATGTTAGTAGGGGAAGTCCTCTAATGATGTTATTAAACACGATGCTTTAATGCATCAACCACAGCTGTAGTGTGTATGCAACAAAACCACCAAGTCAAATAAATACAAAGAATACAACACATACACATTTTTCAAGGCTGTACTTTTGTCCTGATTTTTCTCCTTTTGCTCTGAAAACTGGAGAAGTGCATTCAGGCTCTGAGAGTCAGAGCCTGAGACTTGGGAACCGTATTCTATACGTATGCAACCTTTTGAAAATTAACAAAATTGATTTTAAAAGGCCAAAGTTCTCTAATTTTTTCTGAAACCCCTGTTTCAATCCTGCTCCATTTTTTGTGTTACGTTCTCTTAGGAATTAATCCATTGTTTTTCTAAAATATATTTTTGCCAAGCAAAAACATTATCTTTCTTCAAAAATTATGAAGATTTGCCATTACGACAGATGTATTTCTTTGTTTGTAGATGTCTGGAGTGTAATTGCATCGCCCTTCATGCCAAAGTACCTGTCTGGTCCCCGCTGTGCCTCCTTGCATGGAGCAATCTACCTTATTGGTGACAACACAAAGAAAGTCTATGTGTATGATCCAGATGCCAACATATGGCAGAAGGTAAGTAAATGGGAAGTGGTCTTAACAAAAGTAGAGTAAGATAGGATTAGATCTGGGTTCGAATCTCCACTTAAGCCATAAACTCACTGACTAATCATAAGAAAGTTGCTCTCAGTATAATCCAGAATGAAGTGATATCGTGGAGAACAAGCATGTTTATTTTGGAAAGACCTGGCAAAAGAAAGATCAAATCAAACTAAAATAGCGGTAAACTGGAAAGTCGCAATGCTAAATGCAGCTGTGTTCTTTGCAGAAAGGGCAGAATACAAGTATACAAACAAACAAGAATGCCATCAGTTTCATTTTATTACAGCGTTTCTCAACCTGGGGGTCGGGACCCCAGGGGGGGGGGTCACGAGAGGGTGTCAGAGGGATGGCCAAAGAATCATCAGAAAACACAGTATGTTCTGTTGATCATGGGGGTTCTGTGTGGGAAGTTTGGCCCAATTATATCATTGATGGGGTTCATAATGCTCTTTGACTGTAGGTGAACTATAAATCCCAGCAACTACAACTCCCAAATGTCAAGGTCTATTTCCTCCCAAACTCTACCAGTGTTGACATTTGGGTATATTGAGGTTTTGTGCCAAGTTTGGTCCAGAACCATCAGAAATGCCTCTAGAACATGCCTCTAGAACATGGTCCAGAAATGCCTCTAGAACATGGCTCTATAGCCCGAAAAAACCCACAAGAACCTAGAACCATCATTGTTTGCGTCCACAGTGCTCTTTGGATGTAGGTGAACTACAAACTACAACTCCAAAACTCAAGGTCAATGCCCATCAAACTCTTCCAGTATTTTCTGTTAGTCTGTTCTGTGTGCCAAGTTTGGTTCAATTCCATTGTTGGTGGAGTTCAGAATGCTCTTTGATTGTAGGTGAACTATAAATCCCAGCAACTACAACTCCCAAATGACAACGTCAACCCCCACCCCACTGGTATTCAAATGTGGGTGGATATTTGGTCCAGTGAATGAAAATACATCCTGCATATCAGATACTACATTTCATAACAATAGAAGAATTACAGTTATGAAGTAGCAACAAAAATAATCTTATGGTTGGGGGTCACCACGACACGAGGAAGGTTGAAAATCACTGATTTGTTGTAATTTTTTTTTCTAATGAGACCACTTTTTTTGGTAAGCAGCCACATTTTAATTTTTCACATTTACAGCTTGGGAGCCTGGAAATTGGGGTACTAGGAAATGACAACTGGAATGCTTTTCTTGGGACAACCAGTTGTGAGAGGGCCTCAAGGGGTCTCTCAAGGTGCCTATTCACAAGGCATCTTATGACTGGAAGTGCATGTGACCATTATCTCCCAGCAACCCAACCTCCAGCACCTTAGAAACACTTCAGTCAGGATGCTTTAAAGGTAGATTTGGAGGGGCACCATCTGTTGTGCTTACAGTGATGTGTTGTCAAGAAATGGGAGCGATATACATGGGTTTGCTTGGCAATAGTAAACATGGAAGTGGCTACACATTTCTATGGTCTGTAGCTTTGTTGAAGAGAAGTTAAAGAAGCAATTTATTTGGTTCATTTCTACCCAAAAAGGTGCTCAAGATGACTATCTATATAAATAAAAATGTAATGTTCATTTGTGGGATTAGCAGAACTCAAAAACCACTGGGGGAATTGATACCAAATTTGGACACAAGACACCTAACAACCCAATGTATGTCCTTCACTCAAAAAAATTGATATTGTCATTAGGGAGTTGTAGTTGTTGGGATTTATAGATCACCTACAATCAAAGAACATTCTGAACCCCACCAACGATGGGGTTTGAACCAAACTTGGCATACAGTTCTCCCGTGACCAACAGAAAATACTGGAAGGGTTTGATGGGCAGTGTCCTTTGGTTTTGGAGTTGTAGTTCACCTACATCCAGAGATCACTGTGGACTCAAACAATGATGGATCTGGACCAAACTCTATACGAATACTCAATATGCCCAAATGTGATGGAGTTTGGGGAAAATAGAATCTTGACATTTGGGAGTGATAGTTGCTGGGATTTAGAGTTCACCTACAATCTCAGAGCATTCTGAACCCCACCAACGATAGAATTGGGCCAAACCTCCCACACAAAACCCCCATCTGGGCCACAGCAACACGTGGCAGGGGACAGCTAGTGAAGCATAAAATACAGATCAAAAACATTGCATCAGCTCAAATAAAATAACAACCTAAATGGCAGACTTAAGCAACATCCAAGCAGTTTGACTCCCTCCCCGTTGTTGTCTCTTTTTACATAGTTTTAAAAAACATTTTCTTATGCAGTGTAACAAAATGCCACTGGTGAACAATGCTTTGATGGAAGAGTCACCAAAACAGATGCTGTGGTTTGATATACAGACAACTGTCCCTATTAAATGGCGCAAAGCCCATTCCTTGATTGAGGATATCCCAGACAAAAGCATGGCATGGCCCTGTTCCCTTGTCCTGTTGGCTTCAGTAAAGCCCTATGTAATGTTGTTGGAGGGTTGGTTTAGGCAGCATCATTCTGAAATCCTGCTGCAGCTGTTCACATGGTGTCAGGGCTCAGCTGACCTTGTAGCACCCAGTCCAGTCTCCAGGGCAGCTGCAGAGGGTGCTCTGCCAGACTCTTCATCTCCCGACATTGATGGAAAATAGTTAGAGCTGTTGGGTTCTCTCAATCTGTTATACTCTTGCCAGAGACCTCTTTAAGGTTCCCACTATAACATCTTAACATCTAACAGCATCTCCGCAAGCAAACTTGCATTAGGATCCAATGAATATTTATGCACAACTCCAGTCATTGCTATTTTTATTGTGTTCTTTACAGGGAGAAAACAGGAGTTAAGATAAGCATAGACAACTCAATCCTTGTATACAGTGTCTGTTAGGGAGGGAGATGGAGAAATACTGGGTTAAAGGGTTTTTTTTAAATTACAGTTCAAAAGACTACAACAAAGCTGTTCTTTTTCATCTTTATTTTTGAACAGATCCCTAACTAGAAAACTATCTTAGGTACATTTTGGAATTAGAAAATTAGGTCCCAAACATGTTTTATATAGCCATGATGTGATTTGACTTATGACCTCACCACATTGAGGACAAAAAGCATCTTCTCTGTGTTTCACTGTGTTGCCAGCATGTGGTCAGCATGGAGTCCCCCAGAGCCCATCACATGAAAGTGGGGCTCTGTCAGCGTGGTGGTGGCACAGAGAAATGGAGCCCAGAGGAGTCAGGGAGGAGAAGCTGGAGAGGAAGTGGGAGAATGCCAAGGACAGCAGGGAAATGTCACGGGAAGAGATCCCATGACGATAAGAGACCTCTGCGTTATGTTGTCCCACAGTTTTCCCCGCTGTCCCTTGCTGTCGCCTGGCTTTTTGGCCTCAGTGTGATGAGGTCCTTAGTGTAAAAAGACCCTACATAACATTGGTGCCAATCAGACCTGGCAATTGAGAGTATTTCACAAATTGTGTGCCAAAACAGAAAAAAAAAATCCCATGTCTTCCTGAAATGTTTTTCTCCCATTGATGGAAGACAGAGGAGAGATTCTCCAGCAGATATAGGAAAAGGCATGTTTTCATAGATAGATAGATAGATAGATAGATAGATAGATAGATAGATAGATAGATAGAGTAAGATAAGACTGTCAGCACACTAACACTTCAGCTCCTGTAGAATTTCTCCATCTACTTCAAAATGTTTTAACAGTGCTGCCAGAAGGGCCAAGAAACTTGATTATATTAATTTGCAGTATATTTTTCAATGACTAGAAAGCATTTACTTTGATTTTACATCCAGCATATGAGAGTCCCATCCACCAAATAAAGACATATGTGTATATGTCTTCTCAAGTTCTCTGTGTACTTCTCTGGCAATCTCATGAATTTCATAAGGTTTTCTAAGGCAAGGTTTACACAGAAATAGTTTTGCCAGGTCCTTCCGAAATATAGTCTACAGGACCTGGTATTTGTTTGTGGTCTCCCATCCAAGTATTAACCAAGGTTGACTCTGCTTAGCTTCCAATATCAGGTGCCTTGTTGCTCTTCTTTGAATAACACCTGTTGGGGTTTCCTAAGTCATGCCACCTAATATGAACTCTAAAAATGAATGATGGTAATGCTTTGTTGGCAGGTGCAGCAACTTCATACGCTGCATGAGAACGGAGGAATGGTACCCCTTGGAGGCAAACTTTTTGTCACGGGAGGCTATTGGAAAGGTATGGACGGTGACTATCAGGTGGAGATGGAATCATATGACTGTGCCAAAGATATCTGGACAAAGGAAGGGGGCCTCCCATGCTTATGGCTCTACCATAGCTCTTCTTCTATTTTTATGGATACTTCAAAATGGAGAGAACCTTTTCTGGGAAACCAGTTGTAACAGAAGAGAGTGGAATCGGGCTCTACCTGTGTTTAGGCACACATCTGGAAAAAGAAGAGACCTATTATTGTGCACTGCAGCCTTTATTGGGTTGAATCAGCTTGAACGGATAACTATAGTCATAACATTAATGGTAAACACATGGGATAATGGGTTTATAAAACTGTCAAGCACTCAGCACTGTGTTAACTCTATACTTCTAAATATAAAACACCATTACACTGAAGGCCAATGAAGTTGAGGATTAGTTCATGCTGTTTACAGATCTCTGTTGATGTCTCTTACTAAACTCACTGCTAGAAACACCCGCAATTTTTAAAAACTTTACTGTTCCTTTTAAAAAGTTGCCATAACTGAAGTTTGTGAGATATCCAGCCATTTTGCTGATATATAACTTACTTGAGCAAAGGCAACCAGTCTTACAGAACTCCGAGTTGGAATCTATTGGTATCATCTATTGCCTAATTGTATTGGATTGTGACCAGTGTTGGAAAGGGGCCAAAAGGAAAGTAGGCCATCTCCAAATCAGGACTAGAAGGGTTTTTTTTAATGCTAATTTGAGATAACAGTGGCTAATGTTGTAGGGTGATTAAATAAATTCATCGTATGAGTGCTTTTCAGTGTTGTAGAAGGGTTCTGCCCTTCTTGAGCCTCATGCCGCCCATCATAAAACATAGGCTCATTTCCAATGGGGCTCCATGCTCAACTGGGGCAGAAGAGTCCTACAATGCTGCACTGGGAAAACAGGAGGCTTCTCGTGTTTTATTTGAAACCACGAGGGTTGAGTGGGGGGAAGCCACACGGTGACACTTCCCCGCGTGTGATGGGGAAGTGTCATTTTGATGAGGTCCTTAGTGACAAATTTCTGGATAACAGAGATGTTATTTTAGGAGTCAGAATTCCTGGTCCTATAGATTCCTGACAGCCTCATACAGCACAACTAATGGTTAGAGTAATGCGAGCAGCAGTCCATCTATATGCCACAGACCACCCATCCCTATTGTATGTTACTATAGTTGGATGCATGTACAGTCACCCCTCTATGCTTGTGGGTTTCACATTTGTGGATTTGATTAAAATAGTATCTTTAGGAATCCCTAGGTCCTCCAGCACAGTCCTATGGTCAACTTCTAGCTCTGAAGGACCTAAGGATTCTTAGCTAATTTTATATTTGCAGTTTTTCAAGGTAATTGTGGTCATACTTTTAAATTACTCATTCCATAATAATATGGGAAATCTTGGTAAGATCTTTTAAAATAAATCATAGTTTGAGCTGGAAAGGTGCACATTTTCAGCTAAGCCCCTTTCTGGCTTTATTTAGGTTATATCAAGTTCATGTAAGATGTCTAAAGCAGTGATGAGATGCCTTAGGACTTCCAGATCTTTCGGCACATAGCTCTCTGTCTTTTAGCATTGGGTCTGGAGGCCCTGGTGGTGCAGTGGGTGAAACCTTTGTGCAGGACTGAAGATCGACAGGTTGCAGGTTCGAATCCGGGGAGAGCCTTTATGAGCTCCCTCTGTCAGCTCCGGTCCCCATGCAGGGACATAAGAGAAACCTCCCACAAGGATGGTAAAATATCAAAAACAAACAAACAAACATCCTGGCGTCCCCTGGGCAACATCCTTGCAGACGGCCAATTCTCTCACATCAGAAGCAACTTGCAGTTTCTCAAGTCACTCCTGACAAAACAAAAGCATTGGATTTGGTAGGAGCTACAGCCCAAAACATCTCAAGGTCCTCCATCTTTGCTCTAGAGAGCATCGGAATCTAACCAAATTGCCAGAGCAAACCTCAGTAGGCGCTAAAATGTTCCCTAGAGATGTTTGATTTTTCGAGATTATGGGGACATAGGATGGGGCAAAGCTGGACAGAGAACCATTGTATACTGCTTTGAATCCCACCCATAGGAAAAAAGTGGGATAAAAATGAGTAAATGATAATAATAATAATAATAATAATAACAATAATAACTGATAAAAGCAGACTAATGAAAATTAAGAGAAACCTAACAAGCCTTGTAGATGAGTAGCTTCTTCACAATCAGCAAGTACATATTATCCTTTGGCTAACCCACCAACCCATTTATATAGTCAGAATTTTTTCAAAGGGATTGCTCTCATGCCAAAATAGGAAAAATACTTTTCTCCCAAAGATTAGTCTCCAGGCTAGCTCCTTATATCCAGTAAAACCCAACTGCAACCTATCTCTTGCATGCCTCCACCCTTAATTGCTTTCACCTGGAAACTCTTTTTTACAGATTACTCAGCCCTTTAGAATTAAGATTTACATTAACTCCTTCCATCACCAACTGCTAGGCCACCACCAACCACCATCAACTGTGGAACATGATACATGACACTGTACATATAATTAGGGGTGTGTGTGTTTTTGTCTCTCATCAGTTCATGACAACACCATGAATTTCAGAGTTTTCTTAGGCAAAGAATAGTCAGAAGTATTTAATGCCCTGCAAAACCTCAGTAGGTACCAAAACTACTGATGTACACATCTCTTGATCATTCAAGGGTGGGAAAAAAAAGTTTCCACTAGAGCACAGATTTGTCAGAAATGGCTTCTTTTATACAATCCCAGGAATTTGGCAGAAACAGGTGTCACAAATGTCAACACATTTGTCCAATTTGGAGTTGTCTATTGACTACATTTAGGTATCATTTTACTAACACTCATGAAGGCAATGGACTCGCCTGGTTGCCTAGTGATCAGTATTAATGAAGGATAGAAAAATGAAAGTTTAATATGTTGTTTCTGCTGGAGTAGTAGTGTTATTCAAAGTTCTGCTAATGGCATGCATTTGAAATATTCCCTCCCCAAGGAGAGCAAAACAGCTCCTTCCTTGACATCTTTTAAAAAACAGCTAAAGCCCTTCCCGTTAAACAAGCTTTTAATGAAGATATTTAATTTGGAATTACAGGAAGGCTAACTTTAGGTGAGTTAAGCAAAGTTAAGCATCTGAATAGACAAGTTCCCACAACAATGGTATCTGGTATCTGTTGAATGATTTTGTTTATTTATTCATGTTTTATTGTAAAATCAGCTTTATTGTTTGTTGTTTATGTATGTATTGTTTTAAAATGTTGTGAACTGCTTTGGGCCCTACTTCAGGAGAAAAGCTGGATATAAATAAAGAATTATTATTATTATTATTATTATTATTATTATTATTATTATTTGAAACACAACAAGATGAGTCCACAGCAAACAAGATCACTCTGCTGGCTGTTGCATTGGATCACACATCGGACACTTCCCAGGACTATGTGATGTATCGGTGAATAATGCATGCAGATCCCAGTAGGGTGGCCTTTTGCAGCTGACAGACAGTAATTTTGTCAGCACCAATTGTGTTTCAGTGCAGGCCATGGTCTTTAGGCACTGCACCCAGTATGCCGATCACCACTGTGACCACCTTGATTGGCTTGTGCCAGAGTCTTTACAGTTCGATCTTTAAATCCTCATGTCAGCTTTTCCAGTTGTTTCTCTTCAATCCTGCTGTCGCCTGGGATTGCAACATCGATGATCCATACTTTGTTTTTTAACATGATTATGAGGTCAGGAGTATTGTGCTCCAAAACTCTGGCAGTCTGAATTCAGAAGTCCCAGAGGAGTTTGACATGTTCATTTTCTGTAACCTTTTCAGGCTTGGGATCCCACCAGTTCTTTGTCGCAGGCAGATGGTTGTTGTTGTTATTATTGTTATTATTATTATCATCATCATCATCAAGCTGATAAACATTCATTAGGTTATAAATGACAACAATGTAGAGGAATTGCAGAAATAACTCAGAGGAGATTATAATTCAAAATAAGCATAGTAAACTTGATAATGGGGGCTTCTGAACAGCAGAATGAATTTCAACAAACACAAATATTTATTCTGGGTTAGGAGGGAAATTATATTTTTGTTTGTAAAGCCTATCTTTACTAAAATGTATTTGCATAGATCTTTTTAAGATTTTGTACTGAATTTTACACTGTCACAAACTGCTGTGTCTAATAAAATCTTTTCAAAATAAACTAAAAATAATAATCCTAGATAAATCTGCCTGCATTTTCTGTTTATGTATCACATTTTAGTTTGCTTCTTCTCATTGTGTCTTTTTGTAGTTTATAGTGTGACCCTGCCTTTAGCATTTCCCAGTTCATTGAATACTCCAATGGCCAGTTGATTTGCCTTGGCTCCTACTAGAAGGGAATGTTGATGCTTCAGGCATCTGTCATGCAATCTTTTCCTTTGCCTTCCATTTTTACCAAGCATTATAATATTTTGTAGTGAGTTATGACATCTCACTAAATACTGAAAATACAACTTCAGTCAAGGAATTTTTGCTTCTTTTGAGTTTAGGCTTTAAAAAAGTAAGATGTACTGTAAGCTCCCTAAACTCAAATGAAAACACTACTGCCGGATGTCATCCTAAAGCAGGCATGGGCAAACTTTGGCCCTCCAGGTGTTACCAACTGTTAGGAACTGTGAAAGTTGAAGTCCAAAACACCCGGAGGGCCAAAGTTTGCCCATGCCTGTCATAAACGAATGCCAAACTAGTATAACAAAGAATAAACACTTCATTCTTTACTGATTATCTGGGTGGCATATCTTTTCTCTAGCAAGACAGTGTGTGGATTGGCAAAGACATTAACTATGTGAGATTTTCATTCAGCCACAGGGTTCACTATTATTCATGGTTTCATATATTCAGGTATGTGTGTTTGTGTTTGTGTGTGTATGTGTGTGTGTGTGGGGGGGGGGGGATTACATTCTAATAAAACAATCATTAGCAAAAGATGACAATTTACCAAGGAAGCCATGTACATTGACTTCTCTTCTGCACTATAGTGTTTTTGAAAACAGGTGGCATTTTCGTTCCCATGACTTCATTGGCATGGTCTTGCCTTCATGGAAAAGTGAATGAGAGAGAGGCTGAGGGAGAGGGAGAGAACAGCTTAGTTACATCACTCTACTGGGAACGGTGGCCAAGACAATGACCTGACAGCTCAAGAATGAAGCTTAGATTTCTCTCAGGCATGAAGGGAAGCTGGGAGGGCAAAACAATAATTCTCCCTCCTTCACTGTAATTCTATGTGAGAACTCAGTCACACATAGTCCAATATATCCCGGATGTCTTACTGTAGAAGAAGGAAAGCCCCCAAACTGAAGTTAATCGGCATTACATATTAGTCATTAGAGCACATACCACAGCGTAATGGGAATACTTACTTACTTAGGCGATCCCTCTTTGTCCAAGTAAGATTCTCCCTCAAGGTCAGTGTACTGGTGGTGGGTCCATAGGTGACTGTGTAGCCCTATTCTTCAAATTCTACAGCACTGCTAATCACAGCTGACCTCCAGCTGGAGCGCTCAAGGGCCAGGGCTTATTTATTTATTTATTTACTTCATTTATATACCACTTTTCTCAGCCCTCAGGTGACTCAAAGCGGTTAACAACAGCAAAATTCAATGCAAAACATCATAAAACGATTATGGGACAGTTAAAACAATAGCAACAATAGCTTCCCAGTTCTTGGTGTCTATGCCAGAGTTTTTAAGGTTGGCTTTGAGCCCATCTTTAAATCTCTTTTTCCTGTCCTCCAACATTCCATTTTCCATTCTTGAGTTCAGAGTAGAGCAACTGCTTTGGGAGATGGTGGTAGGGCATCCGGACAACGTGGCCAGTCCAGCGGAGTTGATGGCGGAGGACCATCGCTTCAATGCTGGTGGTCTTTACTTCTTCCAGCACGCTGATGTTTGTCCGCCTGTCTTCCCAAGAGATTTGCAGGATTTTTCGGAGGCAGCACTGATGGAATCGTTCCACATCTCACAGGCATATAGCAGGGTTGGGAGGACAATAGCTTTATAAACAAGCACCTTGGTATCCCTATGGATGTTCCGGTCCTCAAACACTCTCTGCTTCAGCAGGAAAACTGTTGCACTCACAGAGCTCAGGCGGTGTTGTATTTCAGTGTCAATCTTGACTTTTGTGGAGAGATGGCTACCAAGCTAGCAGAAATATTGGAACTAGTGGCTTGTCCGGTATGAACTTATTGGGCAAGCAGAAATTTGAATGAAGATGGACAGTGCAATTTTTTTAAAGAAGTGATTCTATTTCTGCCCTGAGAGTATACCCCAAGGATTCTGGTCAAAGGAAAGCTAGTATAATGCCAAGTTTTTAACTTTGTGTGTATGTGTGTGTGTGTGTGTATGTGTATGTGTGTGTGTATGTGTGTGTGTTTAGAATACATTATAACTGTACTCTCAATTCACTTCTGACACTATAGATCAGGGGCCCTCAAACTTTTTAAACAGAGGGCCAGGTCACAGTCCCTCAAATTGTTGGAGGGCCGGATTATCATTTGAAAAAAACATGAATGAATTCCTATGCACACTGCACATATCTTATTTGTAGTACCAAAAAACAAAAACAATACAATAAGTAAAATGAAGAACAATTTTAACAAATATAAACTTATTAGTATTTCAATGGTAAGTGTGGGCCTGCTCTCGGCTAATGAGATAGGATGTTGTTGTTGTTGTTGTTGTTGTTGTTGTTGTGTGCTTTCAAGTTATTTCAGACTTAGGCTGACCCTGAGCAAGGGCTGGGTAAATGACCTTGGAGGGCTGTATCCGGCCTCTGGGCCTTAGTTTGAGGACCCCTGCTTTAGGTAAATAAACAAATCTAATTGAAATGAAATTCTCACCTATTTTTTTTTAGTTTTTTGAGTTGTAGTTTGCTACTACTGTCAGTAGATGTCTCTGTACTGACTCTAAAAATGAATGTGGGTGGCAACCCCAATGAGGCGGGGAATTCAAGCTTATTAAAGAAAGGGAAGGCAGCAAATATAATGCACCCAGGAGCAGGTGGATAGTGGTGCATTCAACTGAGAGGAGGCTTGGAGGGTACAAGTCCTTAGAAATCTTTAAGAAAAAAAAAAACACTGCAAAGTTCCTCAAGCAGCTATAGCTGTGAATTGGAAAGCTATAGGACTTCTGGTGTTCCAGTATAGTGCTTTATTTATATCTTAACAAGAGAACCCAAGAACAAGAAGACAAATTTCTCCTGCTTCATTTGGATACAGCTCTTCACTCCAAGGAGAACAGCCTTGAGGTCCTTGAACTGGAAAGAGCTATCGGTGAGGCCATTTGATAATTATTTTTCTTTCATATTTCTCCCCAAATGCAGAAATAGCTCTAATTTTTCCTGATTTCACTAACAACCCAAAACCTCTGTCTAGTGTGGGGCATGTAATATGTTCACTTCTTTAGTTTTTAAAAAGTGATTCCTGGTTTATTCTCCTTCTCCTCTTCCCTCTCTTTAAAAAACCATGTATCTTGTTTGGGTCTGCTGTGAAAAAAATGAATACACAAAGCAATTCTGAAGATACAGCAGTTAACATGTTCCAGGAATTTATGTCATTTTGAAAAAACACAGCTTAAAAGGCTTTTTTGATTTGTGGTGTTTTCTCCTAAGAAATTCCAAGCAATGCTTAATTTCATGATTCTTTGTCTGTAGAGACTGTTTGACAATGTTCCAGAGGATATCTTGTCCCTTCCTCCTTTCTGGCCATCCACTCCAGTTATTGGCCATGGGCTTGCTAGCAGTGGCTTTTTGGATTAGCCCTGTGGAACCTGAAAAACACGGAAATGGAATCAACCAGGAGAAGAAACCCCAATGGAATGAAACAAGCCTTCCCTTATTATCATCCAAAGGCAAGGTAGGCATGTGGGATACAACAGGGCTCACTAATTCAGTGTGCTGTCTTACCACCCATTCCCTTAGAAAAACTTCTTATTTGTATATAGCAATGTAAAGTACATGATGCAATTCTGAATTACTGAGCGGTAGACGCTAGGGCAATAACAGGTAACATCCTAAGATAATGCACAGCGAAGCCTCTCCTGGACCATACATGGGGATGAAAAGGTATCCAGTTCCGTCTTGATATTTAAGTTGTTTTGTTGTGATATTAAAGTCCATATTGCAGTCAATATCATACGACACTGAACACCATGGAAAGGTACTGTTCATAAGACACTTGTATCCAGCCATCTTGGTCAGTATCATATCGTCTGAAGACATCTATCCATTTCTGCAGAACAACACAGCACTGAATGAAGTCATCAAATGCCACCTGTCCTCTTTTTTGTCTGTCAAATTTCATTTTCATATAGCAGTGGCTCCCAACCTGTGGTCCATGGACCACCAGTGGTCCCCAAGAACTGAAATATGGTCCGCAGCTTCACTGTTACTACACCATTGCAACGAGAGTGACTGGTCTCCTGAAACCCTGTTGTGATACTGAGACAATGGCATATTGGAAGAGGCTGACTACCCACAAAAGGTGTGACAACAAGCCTCCTGACTGCTACTTCTCTTCCTTCTCCCTCCCTCTGAGTGGAGCTGGCCTGTTCTTGGGGTTATTTGATAGATCACATCAGCTCTAGATTATTAAATGTGGTTTTCTGTGGGTGAGCAGATGGTAACTACTGGATGGCATATGTTCTGTATCAGAAACTTGAGCTGTTGTGGTCTACCCAATGCAATTTTCTGAATCAGTGCCCCAAATAACTACGAATCTAACGTTGACCAAAAACTGATTCGTAACCCTTTTGGTACTAATGTTGGAGAGTGGTCCCTGGTCAAAGTGGTCCTGGTTAAAAAAAAGGTTGGAAACCACGGGTATATAGCTTTAGAATAAACAATTCACAAAAACTAAAACTGGAGAAGACAGTAGACAGCCCGATGTAATTTTCACTTTGAAATGTTGTGTGGAGGAACAATTGGATGTGATAGTCTACTCCTGTGAGATCCAAAGTAAATGACTTGAGAATGAGCTTTGTGAAGAACTTCTGATTAAATATGCAAAGGCCTGCATAATCAATTACAGCAATAATCCATTTTATTCCTGTATTGTGTCTACTGCCATTTCCTAAGAATCACAGAGTTAGAAGAGGACACAAGCACCTTTTAGTTCAATAATCTTCCATTCAGGAATACATGACTTGAAGCATTTTTGAAAGATGAAAGATGACCATCCAATCTTTGTTTGAAGTTCTCCAAAGAAGGAAGGCCCAACACAGATTAAATGTCGCCACCCCAGCCATTCCACAGATATATAAACCCATTGTCCTAATTCCAACAGACCTCACTACCTCTGAGGATGCTTGCCATAGATGCAGGCGAAACGTCAGGAGAAATGCCTCTAGAACATGGCCCTATAGCCCAAAAAACCCCCACAAAAACCTAAATGTCGCTTGTTTGATCTAATATGCTCAATGCATATTAATCAATGAGACAAATATGGAGGATAGTGCTATTTCTATAGGAAGTTTTATACCATTACTTCTAGTTAAGAGAAGAGAGATGCAATTCTACTATAGAATAAAGGTGAGCAACTAAAGGCAGGATTGGAATCAGATTTCTGCCCCTAACACTCTAGGGTCCTCATGGATAGCTCAAAATGTTGGAAGGGGGTTAATATCAGAAACTGTCAGTCATCCATTTCTGGATTAAAGGAAACTGGAATTTGTATGTGTTAAACCAGTGGTTCTCAACCTGGGATCCCCAGATGTTTTTGGCCTACAACTTCCAGAAATCCCAGCCAGTTTACCAGCTGTTAGGATTTCTGGGAGTTGAAGGCCAAAAACATCTGGGGACCCCAGGTTGAGAACCACTGCATTAAACAGAACAAGGGTGGAGTGGGGTTTGGGAAACTGCAACGTCCATCAACCAAAAAAGCCACTCCTGGAGACTTCTAGGAGGAGCAAGTCATCTTTCATCTTTTCTTTGGCCAGAAAAAAAAATTAATGCTGAGCAATTTGAGGGGGATGAAGGTGACAAACAACCTTGGGATCTGCATGTGGCCACACAGCCACATTTCGCCTGCCCTTGATCTGAAACTATGGTTCAGGGTAGTTGGAAATATATCTGCTCAACCAGAAAGCAGAGAGGGATTCTTGTCTGGAATTCCCCTGTTTTTTCAGTGTTGCTCTTTATTTACTGTCCTGATTTTAGAGTTTTTTAAATACTCGCAGCCAGATTTTGTTCATTTTCATGATTTCCTCCTTTCTGTTGAAATTGTCCACATGCTTGTAGATTTCAATGGCTTCTCTGTGTAGTCTGACATGGTAGTTGCTAAAGTGGTCCAGTATTTCTGTGTTCTCAACTAATATGCGGTGTCCAGACTGGTTCATCAGGTGCTCTGCTACTGCTATGGTTGAATTAGTCTGCAGTGCCTTTCATGTTCTTTGACTCATGTTTGGACATAAGTAAAGAGCAACACTCAAAAAACAAGGGAATTCCAGACATGAATCAATCAAGTTCAGATAACACCTCCCAACAAAGGATTCTCCAGGCAGCAACCACCAAACTTTGATGCTGCAAGGCCATTAAATGATAATCAAAGTGACCAATTGCAGCATTCACACTTGCCTCAAGCAGACAAGAGTTCTTTCTCCAACCCTGGACATTCCACAGATATATAAACTTAACTTGCCTAGTTTCCAGTAGACCTTACAACCTCTGAGGATGCCTGCCATAGATGTGGGCAAAATGTCAGGTGAGAATGCTTCTGGAACATGGCCATACAACCCAGAAAACTCACAGCAATCCAGTGATTCTGGCCATGAAAGCCTTCAATAACACATTGTATGCATATTGTCACAGTTTGGAAAGTAGATAATCAGACATAACAGTTAATAGCCCTTCGCAAGCAAGGAAGAAAAGCAAAATTCACTCCAGTCTTTGGGATGGGATTACAAATGACTGAAATGAATAGTGGCAAAACCTAGGCAGATGAGGTAGACTGAAGGAAATATCACGATTGATATATGGAGGCAGCAGCCACAGTGAGCCAAAATCAAAGAGCTTGAGAAAAGCGTTTGTTCCCTGTCTGTCTTTATTATTCCGAATATATTGCTACTTTTAAAAAAATCTTTGCCTTTGCATTGACTTTTTTTCTCATTTTCAAAAGAACCCTGCCCCAGGAAAGATCAACAGTGCCATCTCTCGAGATGCCTGGTTGCTTCTTATGAAACAGTCAAGCAATGGGGTGACTGTCAAGAAAGCGCCCAGAAGCCAACCCCAAAGATTAAAGGTAAGGAATATTATCAAAAGTCTGTTAATATTAGGAATTCTTGGAATTTGATATAGAAAGCCTGGTCTTTCCGCAAAAAAAGTTGGAATTCCCCAAAATAAAGTCTTTCAGAGGTTTAGAAGAGACATTTTAATGTGATCTTCAGATCTACATGACATTCAGGCTCAAGGATGGGCCTGCTTGGTGGATGCTCCCAGACTATGGAATAACTTTCTAATTTAGTCAGCCCTGCTAAAACCATAGTTTTTAAAAATGGAGTTGCTAACTGGTGTTCTAATAGAATAATTCCTTAAATAATTTTTAATATGGATAATTTATTTCATTTTAAGCTGAGTTTTTAAAAACCATGTAGGATTTTTTTTTTGTTGGGAAATGGTATCTGAACACATTGAACTACTTGTATTTATTTTCTTGCCATTCTTAATGATTTTCTGATCTACACCACTCCATCTTCCAAGTTTCTGCATGAAAGAAAAATAGGAATCGTCTGCTTCACATGGTGAAGACAATTGATTTAGGTTATTCTTTAGTGTCTTATGCAGCATTTCACTACTTCATGTTGTGACTCTTCTTAAAATGTTGGGGGAATTAGCTAAATTTACACTCAAATTTTCATGTGCTTCTCTTGAAATCCTAGGGAGTGGAAGTCAATAGAGCAGACCTTTACAAGCTGTGTCTTGTGACATGTTTGTGTGTCGGCTGTAGTGTGTAGGTGTGTTACGTAAACATAATGAGAAATGACAAAAATCTTGGAAATGTATGTTATCTTACAAATAATATATTTTAAATATATAAATTAAAGGTTTTCATAAGATATGTTGTGTCCTCATACATTTATTACCTAACCTATGTATATATCCACATCTCTTATAAGGGGTTAGCTTAATCTCTGGTTTGCTAGTAAAACTGAATTACTGTCTTGTGAAATGATGCAAGTCTAAAATGTGTATCACCAACTTGAAATGTTTGTGTCAGGATCCAGGGCTCTGCCAGTATGCAGGCAGAGGTGAACCAAGAACAACACCCAGCTTGTGTTCCAAAACTATTTTACTTTTTTAAATTTAAATTTAAATTTTATTTCGAAAAAATAATACACAAACCATATATGTTACAAAAATATACACCTACACAAACAAACACACATACACAAACAACCCTCCATACAGTTACCCCTCCACCCACCCCCAGTGCTACCCACCACCTTGACTTCCGTCACTAATCCACGCAGGATTTATGCACAACTTATTTAACCCTCTATACTTCTAATTCAATAAATTCCTCTTGTTTTTATTTCTTTAGCTCTCCCATCAGGTATGCTAAGGCCAGCTTCCAGTTTCTTTCAAATATTTCATTATTTTCATATTTCAAATTACTAGAAATCTTAGCCATCTGTGCATAATCCCACAGTTTAACCTTCCAATCTTTGATGCTTAATGTTTTCTCCCCTTTCCAATTTTTGGCAATTGTAATGCGTGCAGCCGCAAAGCTGTACAAACAAATTTCTCTCTCTGGTTGTTCTAAACTGTCTCTGAATATCCCTAATAGGCACATCCCTGGGTTCTTTTTTATTTTACTTGAAACATTGGCCATTTCAAGGTCCCAGTTCAAAACGTAAAGAGAGCTCACCACCGAAGAATATATAGCAAAGATTTATAACAAGGAGTGTACTACAAACACAGATAGTCAATGATAAATGTCCAAGGAGCAAGGGTCTAAAATGTAGTCATCTTTCCATGGGTCAAGCCAGAAAAAGCCAAAGTTCAAGGGTAGTCCAGACACAGTAGTTGAGGGTCAGTCCAGGGATTCACAGTTCATCAAGGTCCACAGCAGGATACAAACACAGTGAGGTTCACCATCACAATAATCTTCTTGGTTCAAGGTTCCACAAAGTACGGCTTACAAGAGTTCACGATACAGGTCTGGATACCATAATCCACCAACCTAGGGGAAACACCACCAATATTTGCAGCCTAGTATGGCGGGGCTTGATGAATGCAAAGCTGGGGTGAAAATTGCTGGAAGAAACATTAACAACCTCAGATATGCAGATGACACCCTCTGATGGCCGAAAGCGAGGAGGAGCTGAGGAGCCTTCTAATCAAGGTGAAAGAAGAAAGCGCAAAAGCCGGGTTGCAGCTAAACATAAAAAACCAAGATTATGGCAACAAGAATGATTGACAACTGGAAAATAGAGGGAGAAAATGTGGAGGCCGTGACAGACTTTGTATTTCTAGGTGCAAAGATTACTGCAGATGCAGACTGTGGCCAGGAAATCAGAAGACGCTTACTACTTGGGAGGAGAGCAATGACCAATCTCGATAAAATAGTTAAGAGTAGAGACATCACACTGGCAACAAAGATCCGCATAGTTAAAGCCATGGTATTCCCTGTAGTAACTTACGGATGTGAGAGCTGGACCTAGGGAAGGCTGAGCGAAGGAAGATAGATGCTTTTGAGCTGTGGTGCTGGAGAAAAGTTCTGAGAGTGCCTTGGACTGCGAGAAGATCCAACCAGTCCATCCTCCAGGAAATAAAGCCTGACTGCTCACTGGAGGGAAGGATACTAGAGACAAAGTTGAAGTACTTTGGCCACATCATGAGGAGACAGGAAAGCCTAGAGAAGACAATTATGCTGGGGAAAGTGGAAGGCAAAAGGAAGAGGGGCCAACCAAGGGCAAGATGGATGGATGGCATCCTTGAAGTGACTGGACTGACCTTGAAGGAGCTGGGGGTGGTGACGGCCGACAGGGAGCTTTGGCGTGGGCTGGTCCATGAGGTCATTAAGAGTCGGAGACGACTAAACGAATGAACAACAACATGGCAGATACTTTTCTCTAAAGAGCAATCTCTAAGCTAGCTCCTTTTATGATATTAATCACACTTGCATCCTATCTTTAAAGCATCCTCCTTGAGTTGCAGCCCGTTGTGAGTTCTTACAGATAGAGTACTCTGACCTTTAGAACTCAGGACTGAGATTAACCCCTTCTATACTTTTTGCAGCATCACCACCCTGCTAGTCATTATCCTGTTACCCATTACCAACTGCTAGGCATGACCCCAACCACCATCAACTACAGGACATTGCAGTTTGAAAAGCTCTGCTAGCTCTGTGAGCGCAGCATTTTTCCAGATGAAACAGAGAGTGTTTGAGGACCGGGACATCTGTAGGGATACCAAGGTGCTCGTTTATAAAGCTATTGTCATCCCAACCCTGCTATATGCCTGCGAAATGTTGGCTGTCTACAGACGTCACATGCAACTCGTAGAACGATTCTATCAGCGCTGCCTCCGAAAAATCCTGCAAATCTCTTGGAAAGACAAGCAGACAAATGTCAGCATGCTGGAAGAAGCAAAGACTATCAGCATTGAAGCCATGGTCCTCCGTCATCAACTCTGCTGGATCGGCCATGTTGTCCGGATGCCCGACCACCGTCTTCTAAAGCAGTTGCTCTACTCCGAACTCAAGAACGGAAAACAGAATGTTGGTGGGCAGGAAAAGAGATTTAAAGATGGGCTCAAAGCCAACGTTAAAAACTGGCATAGACACTGAGAACTGGGAAGCCCTGGCCCTTGAGCACTCCAGCTGGAGGTCAGCTGTGACCATCATTGCTGCAGAATTTGAAGAGGCACAAATGGAGGGCAAAAGAGAAAAACGTGCCAAGAGGAAGGCGCGTCAAGCCAACCCTGACCAGCACCACCTTCCACCTGGAAACCGATGCCCTCACTGTGGGAGAAGATACAGATCAATAATAGGGCTCTACAGTCACCTATGCACCCATCACCAGTACACCAATCTTAGAAGACAATCCTACTCAGACAACGAGGGATCACCTAAGTGAAGTTCTAGCATATGTATAATCTGGAGGAGAAAAGTGGCAGCCAAGAAAGGGGTTAATCATTCCTTGTTATGCTCTTTTTCTCTACTTTACATTCTCTTCCCTAGTCTTTTTACACAGACACACAGACTTGAAAGAATTCAAGTGTATTAATTCAACAAGTGTATTAATTCAACAAGTGTATTAATTCAACAAGTGGCAAACACCTCAGAAAAACAAAGCCCATCTCTGTGGCCTGTGACATGATGATTGACTATAGATAGGTGGATAATCGCTTTTAGTATATGATCTAAAGGGTAATGGCTTTAAATCACTGTCTTGTGTTTGGATTCTAGGCTGACTTTCGTGGTCTAACAGGACCTCTTGGAGCCACGATTACTAAGAAAGAGATGCTAAGAGAACTACGATTGCTACTTAAGGGTATGGAAAATTGCTGTACTCCATACTAGAAATACTGTGGTATTAAGCCGATATGTACAAAAAAAAGTGAAATAGGTCCTTGATAACTGATTATTACTTATTATGGTTGTTATATAATTATAGTGTGGAAAGAGACCACAAGTAATAATAATAAAAATAATAACAATAATAGCAACACTTCATTTATAATCCACTCTATCTCCCCAGGGGACTCAGAGCGGATTACAACATACACAGATAGGCAAACATTCAATGCCTTTATTACAGTGAAATAACAATGACACACAAATACACAGAATAAAGGTAAAGGCTTCCCCTTTCATCTCCGTCTTCTGGAAGGGGTGCTCAACTCCGGCCATGGGGAGGTGCTCTTTTTCCATTTTCAAGCTGAGGAACCTGTTGTCCACAGATACCTCCTGGTCATGTTGACAGCATGGCTGCATGGGCACCTTTATTACCTTCCTGCCGAGGCGGTATCTATTGATCTACTCACATTTGCATGTTTTTGAACTGCTAGGTTGGGAGGAGCTAGAGCTAACAGCGGGAGCTCACCCTGACCGGTGGCTTCAAACTGCTAACCATTAGGGCCATCCTATGCAACTTTCTACCATGCAGGAAAACATAATCAAGGCACACAGATGGCTATCCATTCTTTGCCTAAAAGCCTCCAGAGAATTAGACTGCATCACACTCTGAGGCAACACATTCCACTGTCAAACAATTCTTACCACCAGAAAGCTCTTCATAATGTTTAGGGAGAATTTATTTTCCTGTATTCATCTCCTAGTGTCTGAGGCAGTAGAAAACAAACTGGCTCCATCTACAATATGACATGCCTTCACATATTTAAACATGGCTATCATGTCCCTCCCAACCTTGTCTTCTCCAGGCTAAACATTCCCAGCTTCCCAAGTCATGACTTTCAGACCTTTGTCCTAACGATCCATCTGGATAGGAAACTTTGTTGTTTTTGGTTACAAGTCATATTATTTTTTAAGATTATCAGTTCTGCCATTAAACTGTGATTGTTGCAAGGCAGAGGATATTCTCTGCAACTCCAGCTTTATAGATCCCATGAGTATTATTATTATTATTATTATTATTATTATTATTATTATTATTGGCTTAGCCACTGGTCAAATGAAACCAAGGTTCTCTTGTGTGTGCTAGTGGGCTGCACTCTCTGTATTGGAAAAAAGTGGAATATAAATACATTAATTAAATAAGTATTGTGTACACCAGGTAGTCAAACTTAATAAATTAGGTTCCATTGACATTGCCATATAATGCAGTTCAGTGAAGTTAAACCGCATTCTGAGTTGCATATCATTCTTATTGAAAGCAGTGAAGCTTGAGCTAAATTTTCACATTGATTTCAGTAGAATAAAACTAAATTAACTTAATCTGAATTGAGAACTTTCAAAATATGTTTTTTTTCCTTTTGAACCAAAAGGGATTTTGTTTTTATAGTCCTCAAAAGTATATTTTCAAAGCATTGCATTTTTGGTTAACCTCTATTATGTTGTTGTGGGTGAGGCTTTGATCTTGGGCCCAACATATGTATTTAGGGTTGTCTTTCTGATTCCTTAGGAATAGTTCGAGAACGGGAAGGAGTCAAATCCTGCAAAAACTGCCAGGAAGATGAAGACGGAGAAGGAATGGAAAAGAAATTATTTGCCCACATGAGTGGACTACTCCTAGAAAGCAGGGAGCTAGCGAGAGTGGAGGCAGCCTTCTATTGCCAGATCCAGAAGAATCTTTCAGTGGAGCGACGATCACTGAAAGAGCTTCAACTCTATTACATAGTGAGTAGCAGAAGGAGAAGAGATTGTTTCTAGTTGGTTTCCTCCATTTCAGACCATCATCTCCATTTTGTTGTTCATTCATTCCCTTCCGACTCTTTGTGACCTCATGGACCAGCCCACACCAGAGATCCCTGTTGGTAGTGGCCACCCCCAGCTCCTTCAAGGCCAAGCCAGTCATTTCAAGAATAACATCCATCCATCTTGCCCTTGGTCGGCCCTTCTTCCTTTTGTTTCTTCCATTTTCTCTGGAAGAATCATTATCTTCTCCAAGCTTTCCTGTCTTCTCATTATGTGGCCAAAGTACTTTGCCTCCAGTGAGCAGTCGAGCTTTACTTCCTGGGGTATGGACTAGTTTGATCTTCTTGTGGTCAAGGGCAGGCATGTAGCCGGGGGGGGGGGGGGGGGGGGGGGGGGGGGGGGGGGGGGGGGGGGGGGCTTGAGCCCCCTCCCCGAAATTCTCATGGTGGTTCGCGAAAAGGCCTTACTGGTGCATTATTTAAACTGTTAAGTTTAGTCATATCATGATCTGATCACCATGCTCAATATATCCCATATGCATGGGGGTATTGGGGTAACAAAACAAAAGGTTTGCTAGGGTAGATCCTCTTTCCCTCAGACTCAGCCTTCTTTATGCTCCAGCTCTTGCATCCATAGGTTACTGTGGGGAACACCGTTGCTTTAACTATGTGGATCTTCATTGCCAGTGTGATGTCTACTCTTCAGTATTTTATCGAGATTGGTCATTGCTCTCCTCCCAAGAAGTAAACGTCTTCTGATTTCCTGGCTGCAGTCTGTGTTTGCAGTACTCTTTGCACCTAGAAATACAAAGTCTGTCACTGCCTCCACGTTTTCTCCCTCTATTTGCCAGTTATCAATCTTGTTTTTTATGTTTAAATGCAACCCAGCTTTCACACTTTCTTCTTTCACCTTGGTTGAATATCATCTCCATATACAGGGTTGGGGGAGTTGGAATGATTTTCTCTGCACTTGGTGACTTTTCATTTGTTTGGTTTCAGCCTAAAAAGGGGGAGGTGTTCCATCGTGGCCTAGGACTAAACCTTACAAGTGGCCAATACCACGCTCCTCTCAGTGGATATTACATCTTTAGTGCCACACTGCATGTTGGTAAGTGCTAAAACAATCCGCTTGTCTTCAATAGAGAAATGCTCACAGTCAGAGCTGGCGCATCATTTCTTTCACTTCAAGTAAATATTCAAGCTGTCTCTCTCTCTCCTCTCTCTTTTAATTGGAAAGAAACATTTGCCAACTCCAACTGTATGAAGGTGGGAAGACTACAGTCTGACACTATCAGTTCTGCTTGGATAAATATTTTCTCTAATGAGGAACCACAAAACCTCAAAGAGAAATTTATCAGACAAGATGGAGAAAGGATAGTTAATGATTTCATTAAGGACATACTACTTGGCTGGCTGCTACTAGATTAGAATTGGAATATACCTACCCACTTGTTCAAAAGGGTATTTCATTCCCTCCCTAGTTTTTTTTTTTTTTTGAGAAATACAGTAGCCAATAGTCAGAAGACTACTTTGTGTATTGTATAGTGTATTGAAATTGAAACATGGGTGGGACTTTTAGGTACTGGAACAGTGCTTGGAAAACATATTTCCCCCTATAGTTCCTAGCCTAAACTATATATAGAACGTGTGTCAGTTCAGTTGCTTCATATGTTTCAGATGACTTAAGTGTTAAGTCTTGATAATATTTGCAGAGGTAATAATAAGCTCTTCAAGGGGTGGAAAGTAGTTTTTAATACTATGTTCTGTGACTGATGTATTATAAATGCAATAAGCTTACTAAATGGACAATGACCTTAAACATATGAATAGCTATATATCTCACTCTTGAAAGAAGGTGCCCTGGAGGGCTCAATATAAAATGAGAGCACGACGTGTGAAAAAGATCTTGGAGTCCTTGTGGACAATAAGTTCAACATGAGCCAACAATGTGATGTGGCGGCAAAAAAAGCCAATGGGATGTTGGCCTACATCAATAGGAGCATAGTGTCTAGATCTAGGGAAGTCATGCTACCCCTCTATTCCTCTTTGGTTAGACCACACCTGGAATATTGTGTCCAGTTCTGGGCACCACAACTCAAGAGAGATATTGACAAGCTGGAATGTGTCCAGAGGAAGGTGACTAAAATGATCAAGGGTCTGGAGAACAAGCCCTATGAGGAGCGGCTTAAGGAGCTGGGCATGTTTAGCCTGAAGAAAAGAAAGCTGAGAGGAGATATGATAGCCATGTATAAATATGTGAGAGGAAGCCACAGGGAGGAGGGAGCAGGCTTGTTTTCTGCTTCGCTGGAGACTAGGATGCAGAACAATGGCTTCAAACTACAAGAGAGGAGATTCCATATGAACGTGAGGAAGAACTTCCTGACTGTGAGAGCCGTTCAGCAGTGGAACTCTCTGCCCTGGAGCATGGTGGAGGCTCCTTCTTTGGAAGCTTTTAAACAGAGGCTGGATGGCCATCTGTCAGGGATGATTTGAATGCTTCCTGCTTCTTGGCAAGGGGTTGGACTGGTTGGCCCATGAGGTCTCTTCCAACTCTTTGATTCTATGATTCTATGAACTTTTTACGGCTATGCATTGGAGTAATGAATAGAATAATTAAATGAGGTCAGATAGTTTCCAGCTGTTGAGGCCAAAGATTGATTTGCAACAGCAGACACTAATCTTGTGTCTCGGCTTAATTCTTGCTTGCTGCAGTTCTCAATGACTATGCAAGGAAGAGCCAGCCATGTGCCCGAGATCGTTTGCGCTTGCTGATCTGCGTCCAGTCACTTTGCCGCCAGAATATGTGAGTATGTTTAGCAGAAGGCATTCGTTTATGCATGTTGGCCTGTCTTTGTCCTTTTGATATGTGGTTATGATGGGAAACATCACACCAACGTGAACAGCTCTAAAAAGGGAGCAGATAAATTCAGGAAGATTAGATAATCGGCACCTACTGTTCATGATGGCTTAAAGGCAGCATGCTTGTAATACCAGTTCCTGTGAAACACAAGTGACAGAGTGCTATTGGGTTCATGTCCTTTTGGTAGACTTTCATAATCATCTGATTTGCTCCCATGTGCACAGGATACTGAAATGGGAATATTAATGGGATTGTTGTGAGTTTTCCAGGCTGTATAGCCATGTTCTCTTGACATTTCACCCACATCTATGGCAGGCATCCTCACAGGTTGAGGGGTCTGTTGGAAACTAAGTAATATTAATTGTTTGGTTCACAGTTTCCATCCAGCATTGTTTGAACTCTGTTTTTAGTCTTCACTGTTTCTCCCAATACAGCTAATCAGTTTATGGCTTGAGTTAAATATGTAAATATTTAGGAGGTTGAACAGATTTCCAAAGAAAGAGAGCAGTGGATGAAACTTGATGTAGCTATTATGAGAAAAGCGGCATGAGTTCTTTAATCAATGGAAGAAAGGAAATCATTTTATCTGGCATTAATGAGGATACTGTTATCTCTTGCTTTCAGTTCTCTGAAAACAGTAAGGCACTTGGACAAAAACAGGGAACGTTTCACAGTTTCACTCACTGGAACCCTCTTTCTGCAGGTGAGCATTTGCAAATAAACCAGTAAAGCTTTGAATGGGGAGTTGTGAATACTTGCACTTGAGGGTAGTACAGATAGTCTAACAACTTCATCACACTAGAGAATGAATCCACTTTAAATCCGGTTTCTGTCTCCTGCAGAATTCTGAGGTTTATAGTTTAGTGAGGCTGTTAAAGGTTCCTCCCTAAACTACAAACCCCAGAATTCTGCAGGAGGCAGCAACCATATTTAGAGTGGATTCATTCTCTAATGCAATGGTTCTCAACCTGTGGGTCCCCAAATGTTTTGGCCTTCAACTCCCAGAAATCCTAACAGCTGGTCAACTGACTGGGATTTCTGGGAGTTGTAGGCCAAAACACCTGGGGACCCACAGGTTGAGAACCACTGCTCTAGTGTGATGAGGTCACTAGTTAGTCAGATGTAGTTCCATCATTGTAATATGTGGACAACAGAAGATTAATTAATAATTAATTGCACAAGTCTGACAACACTGTCCATTTTCTCCCTTCTGGCCCAAACAACAGATATTTTCCAATTTGATTATTTGTGGATTAGATTAATATAGTCTCTTTTGGAATCTCTAAATTTTCCAGCACAACTCTATGGAAGTTAACCAAAGAGTCACTTTGGGGGATTTAGCAATTCTTAGAGAATTGTTATCTCAGTTAAGTAAAATAATGTTTTTTTATTCACTGTTTTTCCATTTTTTGTTGAGTTCCTGCACCCTTAATGACGGCAAATGTGGAGAACTGATTGTAAAAAATAGTGTATTACAAAATATGAAGCATTTAAAAATAATCCCAAGAGTTGGTGTTTGGTTCAATATAGAATATATTGTACTTTGCTTACTCACTCATTTTTGCTTCTTTATCATAGGCTGGCCAATATGCTTCCGTATTTGTCGACAACGCATCGGGGTTCTCCCTTGTTGTCCAGAGAGGGTCAGACTTCAGTGCTGTCCTTCTGGGCGTCTGACTGACCTACACCCACCTTCCCTTAAGCTGGAATTTTATTCGCCGTGAGCTAAGCTTGGCCATTCAGTCTTGCACATGGAGAAGGGAACATTAGAAGGAATATACAGCTCTTTGTCTGCAACATGAGCACATCCATGCTGCATCTTGATGCTTAAACTTGTTGAGATGAAGAATTGGACTGAGAAAGATTAGTAGCGCATGTGGTAAAACTGTTGAGAAAGCGCTAAACAATTGCCCTATAGACAGACTCTGTTCTACAGTGTCAATGATTTCATCTATTACTAAATGGTGGTTGACTAATAATTTGTCTTCAGAAAGGTTTTCTCTGACTTACTTTATCCTCAGAAATATATGTTTTGTTTTGAGTGAAGAGTCTCCAGACTAGTTTTTCCCCCCTTAGAAACCTATTGTCTGCTCAACAAGAATAGGCTATGCAAAAGGCCACTTTTCAATGATATTATTATCTTATGAGTTGAGCCATGTGCTAACATATAGCTGGCAACATGTTAGTGAAATAATCAGGCGACCTATGCCTACACATCTCTTTTGGGTGTTGGTGGTGGTGGGATGCATTCCTTGTTCATTTCAGATTTTTCTTCTATTCCTCTAAAATGACTGGAACCCCTTGACATATTTGGGGTCTCCTGCAGATCTTCCAGAAGTCATGGAAGATGCCATTTTTGACTTGCATCTGGCTGTCACATAGCTGGGTATATCTCCACCATACCTTGATTGCCACAGGTAATTACATGGCCATGAGAGTCAGCAGATACAGGTGGATAATGACTCCTACAATAGTCGTGAGATGTTTATAGTTCTTCCGTGGCATAAGTTTAGGAATATCTCCTGAAGCAGGATCAGGATCATGGTCTCAGACCTTCTCATGCTCAAACACTTACCCCCCTCCCCCAAATATATAGATTTATTGTTTTTGTGTGGAATGTACCAACTATCTGATTTCTTCCTGACATAGAAATGTAATTTACTTTATGATTCTGTTTATATATGATGCTAAGGAAACTGTTAGCTACAAAGTTTGGCTCAGGTTTCATAGAAGCATTGGCTTGTCTTGGTTGCTTCACTGCTAATCCAGCTCATCAGTGGTCTTGAAAATCCATCAGACCACATTGTGCTACTAGTAAGACAGAGGAAGGATGTATTTTGAGCACCACATTTTGGGACTCATTTAAGTTTATCAGGGCAGACATATATAGTATTACGTGCATTGCACCCTCTGGTAACATGAAGGAGGAAGCCAAAGGTACTTCCCTTTCTTAGTAATTGTCTGTACTTTCTCTGCAGCTGCTACAACGCACTATGATAACCAAGAAATCTAACAAAATACAGACCCTCCCTCTACTCCTACAGCAATCCGAGCACGTAGGCAGACATGCTTTTGTATGCGTTTTCTTTTTTTAAAAAAAAATCCAAAGAAATTGGGAATGCACACATTTTAGCCTAAGATATGGCTCTCTGCAGATAACACTCTTTTATATAATCACTCCCTAGAAGCTATCATTTAAAAATGTTCAGCAAAGTTTACTGTGGAAACCTTTGATACAAGTGGGTGTTCTAGTAGAGTGCCAACACCAACAAGATTTGCTGCTGGTCTACAGAGATGCAACCATTTACATGGAATCTAGATATCCATGTCATACTGTTTCCAGGGAATGAGATGATGGGTGTTTGAGTCCTCTTCACAGAAAAGGACCCACCAAGTAAAAAATCTGTCCATGTCAGAAAAAATTCTAATATTGTATCTGTAGCAACTAGGTTTTTATATACAGGCAGTCCCCGAGTTACAAACATCTGACTTACAACCGACTCATAATAAAGAATGGGGGTGAGACAACAGGAAGTCAGAGAAATCTACCCCTTGGAAGGGAAACTCACTCCTGAAAGAGCTGTCACGGGGAAAAAAGTGTCTCTACTGAAACTTTCTCACCAATCCTTGTTTCCACAGCATGCCAATTTTTTTTTCAAAATCCAATTATCACAGGGACAGGAAGTGAGGCCAAAACTTCTAAATGGGGACAGACAGCGAAACAGACACCACTGAGATGTTTACCCTTCGCTATGCTATGCAAAGCTTATGTAAATGTATGGAGTTACACTTTTAAAATGTCCCTGTTCTGACTTACATACAAATTCAACTTAAGAACAAAGCCCACAGAAGCTATGTTGTTTGTAAATAGGGAACCGCTTGTAACATGATTTCTTCACATTGTTGAGGAACATATTCACACACAAGCTTGTTTTCACTACATTATTTCCAAGAGTCATGAACTGCAGGTAGAGAAGAATCTTTTTCCTACCAGTGAGAAATCAGCAGAAGACCTAAAGCAGTGGTTCCCAACCTTTGGTCCTCCAGGTGTTTTGGACTTTAATTCCCAGAAATCCCATCCAATTTACCAGCTGTTAGGAATTGTGGGAGCTGAAGTCCAAAACACCTGAAGGACCAAAGGTCGGGAACTACTGACCTAAAGCAAAGATCAAAACTAGTTTTGAAGCAGCTACCTATATTGACCTATTTCATACAGCTAGATGTTTTAGGAAAGACAAATTCTTAGTAAGCAGTGCTCCCACCCTTCCCACGCTGGAGATGCCACTTTAGCCTGATAAGGCCCAGGAGGTGCCCTGCCCTCCAGTGTGATTAGCATTAGCTCTCCTACTGCAGCTGTTTTCTAATGTTTCCATTCTGATCTTTTAAGTGTATATTAATATATAAGCTATAAAGTTTTTGTAAGCAGCTTTATTTATTGTGCTATATTGAAGAGAATATATATACAATGCTTTTGCATTCAGATATGTTGTATTTCCTTGGAAAAAGAGTATACAGTAAGACCCCAGTATCCATGGGAAATATGTTTCTGGATTTTCTGGATTAAACATTTTAAAGCAGAGGCTGGATGGTCTTCTGTTAGGAGTGTTTTGTGTGTTCCTACATGGCCGGAGGTTGGACTGGATGGAACTTGTGGTTTTTTTCATCTCTATGTTGCTATAATTGCACTTCTTCCCAATCATAGCATTACACCCAATTTCAGCATCACATAGATGTATTGCACACTCCAATCTCCACCCACCGCCAATTAGTTAAAACAAATCTTACCACCTAGTTTCAGATGTGTATTTACTAGGAATAGCCAAATACTACTGCCATTAATTAGGTAGTGGCCTAAATTCTATTACTTCTGGTGAGAGTTAAATTAATTAGATTTATCTGTGATGACTCACCAATTGCTTGGATCAGTCAACTGCAATTGAGACTAACAACAGTATTGCAACCACTGAGTCTAGCTCGATATAATGCTTACTTGCAAGCAAACATGAATTGTTTTGTGTGTGTGTGTGTGTGTGTTGAAGCAGCACAGAGAAATATCCATTAGCTTTCACGACCTTTTAGCCAGTCCACATTTGAAAGATATCTTCTGGCAAGAATTCAAAAGAGTGCCCCATTTAAATATGTAAAACATTCAGTTGAACCCTGTTTGAGTCTGTGCGCACAGGGACATGCACACCTGTAGTAATGCCATAAAGGTTTATCTGCATGATTCCCTTTCTGCAGCTTCCATGTAAAATCTGCAACTCCCTTGAAAACCCTTGAGTGATTCTTCAACAATGACATCATTTTATTGATACTTCCATGACAACCGGGAAGGACATTTGTTATCAGGAGCCAGTGATGTGGAGTGATTTGAGTGTTGGACTAGGCGTGCATGAAAGGGTTCTAAATATGATTGAGAAAGGACTGGGAACCCTTTAAAAGCCAACTTCTAAAATAAGCCCTGCCCTTCATAAATAAAATGTGCATGTTGTATACTTGGGCTCTAGACCCTGATGCACAATGTGACTGGCAAAGGAAAATGTTTTAGAAGTTTAAGAAGTCAGAGAAGACACTGGATGGCCCCATTTGACCCAGGTGCAAACCTCTGAAACAATGAATGGACTTAAACAGTTAGAAAAAAGAACCAACCTTTTTATTTACAAATAAGAGCATTTAGGGAAGAAAAACACATAAAAACCCTACATACACACACACACCCACACACACTCACAGACACACATAATTTGTTCTATTGAATCCACTGCATGCTGCCATGGACTTTGCTGGCACGTATTCCTCCCATCACTGCTCAATCCGGACCACCACCACAGTGACGTTATCAGCAGATCCTCGCTGCACAGCTTTGTTGGCCAATCTGTTACAGGCAGCTTCATACCTGGCATCAACGGCTGATTTGGCATCTCTTGTAGGAACTGTTTTGTCCTGTTGACAAGACAAGATGGGTCAGCTTTCTTCCATTACTTACATTCCAGAGATAGCATTAAGATGCTTCTCTTTCCCCCATGCATTGAATCTTTTTTGAGGGTTCAGCCCAGCACACAGGCAAGTAATTTGGGCACCCAATGTAAAAAAAAAAACAGTTAAAAAACAACCCAAAATGACCCATTTTTTATTTCCTGGTAGTAAAAATACTGTAATACAAGATTTACTAATGTTTCATGACATCTTTGGGAGGAAATAATTTAGAAGAGGTCCCCTTTTCCCCCAAGGAACTCACTCAGATCTGCATTTAGTCACTTGCATTGTCTTCTTTTTACTCACTACAGGCAATAATAATAATAATAATAATAATAATAATAATAATAATAATACACTATTTATATTCTGGTCTATCTCCATAAGGGGACTCAGAGAGGCTAACAGTATACACCTATATAGGCAAACATTCAATGCCTTTTATACAGTAACAACAATGACATACAATACACAAACAAAGACAAAGCTTTCGCTTTCCATCTCCGGCATCTGGAGGCCATGTGGATGTGCTCTTGTTCCATTTTTCCATGCCAAGGAGCCTGTTGTGCGCAGACACCTGGTCATGTTTTGCCAACATGGCTGCACAGCGCCTGTCTTCCTGCTGAGGTAGGTACCTATTGATCTCCTCACATTGCATGTTTTCAAACTGCTAGGTTGTCAGAAGCTAGGGCTAACAGTGGGAGCTCACCCTGACCTATGGCTTCAAACTACTAACCTTCTGGTCAGCAAGTTTTCTGAAGCTAGTGGTTTCACCTGGTGTGCTACCGCAGCCCCAGTGGACAGAGACACACCCAGAGGTAAGGGTCGTTTATAAATGAAAAAGAGCAGTTTGCATTTAGCAGGGAGACAAAATAGCCTATCACGCAGCCCCAAAAGCACTGTCCTCTTTAACATAAGGCTGCACTACAAGATCTATACGATTTGCTACTTTATGTCCCTTGTCTCAGAGCCCATGCTGGGAAGGAGAAAGAAACTCAGGTCCAGCCTTCATCCACAGTGAAGGTTGACCTGGATTGGCTCCAGAATCAGAAGTTGGAAGGCGAGACAGCCAATGTGGCAATATGTGTTATAGAGCAGAGAGGCATTGTTTAAAATAATGAGCAAGCTTAAGGACAACTATTCTCTGAGTTACAAACATCTGACTCATACGACTCCTAGTTACCAAGGAGGGCGAGACAACAGGAAGTGAGAGGAAAACTACTGGAAGAGTTGTCATGGGAAAAAGCTATCTCCACTGAAGCTTTATCACCCACACTTGCTTCTACGATAACCCATTTTTTAAAAAAAAAATCTAATTATCACAGGGACAGAAAGTGAGGTGAAATCTTCTGAACAGGGGCACAAACAGCAAAACAAATGTTACAGGGGTGTTAACCCTTTCCTGTGCATTCTAAAACTAACATTTTTTTGGCTGGAATTACATTTAAAATGTACCTGTTCCTACTTACATACAAATTCAACTTAAGAACAAACCTACAGAACCTATCTTGTTCATAACCCAGGGTCTGCCTGTATATCCTTCAACAAAAAGCAAGGCTGTTACTGTTGAGGAGTGATGTGAAAATCACAAGTAGACAAAAGGAGCAAGAACAACAAAATTGTCCTGTCAGTGCTGTGAAAGTGAAGTGAGTTTGCTCTTCCAAGTGCCTTTCTTAAGATTCACTAAACCAAATACACAGATCCACTCACCTCCAAACTAGACATGATGAAGTTCACAGCTTCTTCTGGTGAGAAGACTTTGAAAAGACCATCACAAGCCAACAGGATAAATCTATAAGAATAAATAGTGGTAAGCTTTATCTAACAAAACTAAGGCACAAAAAAATCAGAACTAAAATAAATTAGAAGTCCAGTGCTTTTTTTGGGGGGGGGGGGGCATTAAGAAAAGCACTATGCATATTTTCCTCATTACTAATTTTGATTTAGTGTTACCTGTCATTGTGTGTAAGCTGGCAGCGTTTGACATCTGGCACAGAGATGACCCCAAAGCGCTTGTACTGTCCGTCTCCAATAGACCGAGAGACTTCTAGGACACCCAGAACACGACCTTCCCTAAAAAGGGGAGCAATGGGAGGGGTGCAAGTATCATCAAGACTGAACAACCAAACATTGTGTAGCACTGTCAATTATGCCCCATTTGTTGGTCTAAAATAAACAGCATCCCAAGTCAAATTGACCAATGGCTGGAAATCTGGGGAACAATATTTAAATAACATCTGGAACCAATAAACTACAGCAAGAAGAATCTAGGCCCAAGAGGGAGTCCTCAGCTATGAAATTCGTGGGCAGTCTATTTCTTTATCCTCTAGTCGAGGAATAGGCAGAGTGCAGCCCATGGGCAACTCATAAACATCCCTCCCCTTGAGCAGAATTTTTACATTTGTTTTTAAAACTAAAATGCCTCCACTTTTGTGTGGCTGTACTTATACCATGTTCCCATGCTAGGTTTAGGTCCTACAGAGGTTTTTTAAAAAGCAGTAAATAAACATTAACTTTACTGTTTCTAAAAAATGATGGTGCACAGCAGGGACATGTGTGTGATTTGTAGGGAGAAAGACAAATGCAGCAACCAAACTTCTGGCAATTGCCCACTCCTGCTCTAGTTCTAGAACTTAAGCCAAAACTACATCTTTCCCTGATTATGTTGTTATCTTTCAGTTTAAAGTTGTCTTGCTACTACAAGGGTGGGACAAAAGTCACAAAGTGGTTTCAATATTTAATAACTCCTTTTTTGTTTTTAATTTACAATTCCATAGCATCATACAAAGTATGGATTGGAAATAAATGTATATTATGTGAGAAAACCCAAATCTCATAAATGGTGCCCAACACCAATTTTTCCCTCCTTTGAGAAAAGGCAGGATATAAACACTACTACTACAAATAATAATAATAATAATAATAATAATAATAATAATAATAATAATATACAGTATATACAGAACTGGAGCTCCTGGTGGCACAGTGGGTTAAACCGCTGAGATGCTGAACTTGCTAACCAAATGGTCAGTGGTTTGAATCGGAGAGGGATGAGCTCCTTCTGTGAGCCCCAGCTTCTGCCAACCTAGCAGTTTGAAAATATGCAAATTTTGAGTAGATCAATAGGTACTGTTCTGGTGGGAAGGTAATGGTGCTGCATGCAATCATGCCGGCCACATCACCTTGGAGGCATCTACAGACAACGCTGGCTCTTCAGCTTAGAAATGGAGATGAGCACCACCCCCCAGAGTCGGACTTGACTAGACTTACTGTTAAGGGAAAACCTTTACCCGTATATACAGAACACCTTTGCAACTTTTGGGTCACCCTACAGTTTCCTAACTCACATGTATACAACCCAGGGTGGAGCTGTTAGGAAATGTCCTTGTTCTACTGAATTTAAAGAAATTTAGGAAAGTCAAGTCCATAAGAAAGTACAATTAACAGATATTTACCACGTGACAGTGAACATATGCATTATGTTATAGGAACAACCAAGTTCTAGGTTTGTTCAAATACAGTGTTCCCACTGCAGTATTTTTTAACTCCTCCAAAAATGTGACTCAAGATTTACCCCACCCCTTGTACTTTGCCTTTGTATTTATTACCTGACATTCCCTCCAGCCTTTTGGATCCTCATCCGCTCATCATACTGAGTTGGGTTATGCTCCTTACTGAGACTTAAGGCTGTATGTTTCTGATTCTCTTCATTGTAACGACACAGAATAGCCTGCACTGACAGAAGAAGCCTTGTCAACAAGCAGCACATACTGTAATCTCACTGTCTCTGCTTGGATAATTATACAGGGCACTGCTGTCCTATAAGGCGATCTTGAGGAAGGGTTCCAAACAGCAGACTGAATGGCAGGCATCAGGTCTTTTAAAGCTGTAATGGTGAACACCACCACTGTGCTGAAAATGAGGAAGCATTAACACTAACAACTGGGGACAGAGGGAACCCTTTAGTGCATGCCTGTTGTCTTATTTTCACCTGTTTCCTATATCTATGTAGCTCAAGGTGTTTTGATTCCTGCCTGCATATTGAGGTCATTTCCTCCTTCTCCCAAGAAATCTTTGGTGTGCTTTATTACCCTTTGAGAAGGAAGCATCAATGAGGCTTCTCAAGAGGTCTTACACACACACAAGCATTAGAGACTCTTCTACTCTTCTTTTGTCTATCTATTATTTTATACAAAATGTATTACCCGCAACAATAAAGTAAACTTTAGCAGAGCATACTGTGTGTCTCCCGCTATTTCCTACTATAAGTATAGCTAGTACTTTGCATTCTTTTCTGGTATAGATACCACATATTCCTACAGCACCATCTAGAGTTCATTTAGAAAATTAAAAGAAGCACAGAGCTGTGACTGTTTTCTGTGACTGAGCAGGGATTCAAATGCAGGACTTCCAGTCACCTAGTCCATCCCTCAAACTATGCCATCATGCCGTCTCTCACACTACAGCACATTAATGCTTTTTAACCACCGTGGATGCATCCTACACAATCCCAAGAGGCACTGGAGCTCTTTGGCAAAGAGTTCTGATTACCTAATCAAACTATAAATCCCAAAATTCCTCTGGATGGAGCTATGGAAGGTAAAGTGGTACCAAGATGCTAGAATATTACAGCATGCAAGAAACCAAAGACATGTTTGGTCTCAAAAAGAGTTTGAAACAGCGCCTTAGAGGGACATCCTGCCATAATATATACATACTACATTGCTTCTGTGTAAAAGAAAAAAAAGGCTAATCAATGCAAGATATACATGTCTAAGTTGGACCCAGAACTCCCAGTGTGCTTACCCTGCTATCTCCAAGATTGGCAATATACAAGGTATTATCTATCACCAGTACACAAGTTGCAGTAGAACCATCCTTCCAGGCAGGTTTCCTAAAAACACCAGAAATATGGGGAAAAATGAGTCCAAGACTCCTTTGAGGCCTGTTTCAAACTTATCTCATATTTCAGCTGCACAATTAAGGTGAGATGAGATATACAACTCAGAATACAGATAATTTAAATCAGAACTGTACTATTTGGATAATATTTAGCAATTTATTATTTTTTTAAAAAAATCTGCATTCCTTTCCTTTCCCAAACATTTACTTAAGAAACACAACAAACTACATTTATTCTCATATGTAACTTTCTCTATCATAGCTTTCCCTGTTGTACACATTCTTGTATGCAATTTCTGGGTCAAGAAATGCACTGAAAAATTCAGATAGGTACAGTAATTGCCTCGATCAACATATTAGCTTGGAAGCACAAATTTACTCATTTTAAAAATCTGAATTATTCCTGAGCATCCCTATATAGAAAAAATACTCATGTGTAAGAACAGTTAAACAAAGGTGAAGTATTCAAAAATGCAACCCAGATCCCTATGTACTTTCTAAAATTACGGTGTCATATATATACTTGGCATAATCATGACACCTGGTAAAGTTTTAATTATTTGTTTTTAGATACTAAGTTTAATTCAATTTTAATATTCAAAGACTTTAGGTTTTAAAATGTGTACTGAATTGTTTTACCACTGTTCACAGCTTTAAGTTTAAGAGAAAAAAGTAACATAATAACAATAATCACAAAGACCTTGGCCTGCACTTAAAAACAATCAGCGTTTACAAAATTACCATCTGGCAGCTGCAAAAGGCCACCCTACTCAGATCTGCATGCATTATTGTCCAATATATCACACAGTCCTAGACATTTGGGAAGTGTCAGATGTGTGATCAAATACAAAAATCAGCACAGTGATCTTGTTTGCTGTGTACCAATCTTGTTATGTAACAATTAGTAATAATAACAATTATTGTTGTTGTTGTTATTTAATAATAATAAACAAGTCCTAGACACTTGGGAAGTGTCTGGTGTGTGATCCAAAACAACAGCCAGCTGTGTAATCTTGTTTGCTTTGTACTAATCTTGTTGTGTTTCAAATAGTAGTAGTAGTAGTAGTAGTAGTAATAATAATAATAATAATAATAATAATAATAATAAAGTTCTACTTACTGGCTGGAAGCCTGCTTGAGAAATTCTTCATCAGTGTGTTTGAAGGTATCCAGAAGGCATCTTCTTATTGCTTTTTCCACACTGGGCACGTCTCCTGTGACATAAACCCAAGGAAAAGTAATCATCAACCTATTTCATTTGCCTGGCAACAATATATGAATATTCTAATTGTACATTACAAAAGTTTCTGCTCAGCATAACCTTTCCTCTCTCGGCAGCTATTAAAACAGGGAAATCAATGAATTCAATGATGAAGACTGAAACTCAGCCCAGTTTTTCACCACCTTGCCCTATGGGTAACTGTTTTGGACAGTGTCATTTATCTCCCACATTCAAAGCAATAAGCATCACAAATTCAAAAGAACAATTGCTTTCACAAACAGAAAATTCAACATGTTGATTAATGGATACAAATGTCTCTTGTGGATAAACACTCTCAGAGTGTGCCTTTAAATTGAGAAGGGTCTTCAGAAAGCATGGAGCAAAAAGAGGATACTGCCTTAAAATCCTAGAATCATAGAGACTTAAAATCCTAGAATCACAGAGACTGCATGGGTCATCTAGTTCAAAACCCTGCCGTGCAGGAAAAGCAATCAAAGCAGCCCCAACAAATGGTCATCAAGCCTCTGTTTAAAAACCTCCAAAGAAGAGGCTTCCACCACAATCTGAGGCAGACGGTTCCACTGCTGAACAGCTTTTACAGTCAGGAAGCTCTTCCTAATGTTCAAGTGGAATCTCCTTTCCTGTAATTTGAACCCATTGCTCTGAGTCCCGGTCTCCAAGGCAGCAGAAAATAAGCGTGCTCCCTCTTCCTTATGACATCCTTTCAAATAGTTATACATGGTGACCATGTCTCCTTTCAACTTCACTGTTCTTTTATGCTTTTCATTAAACATACCTTTAGGAAACTTTCTTATCAAGTTTTGATGTAGATTTTGTGCTGCATAATTTGAAGCTCGAACTCCCCCATGACCATCAAAGACAGCAAAGTATGAGACGCGGGTGCTGTAAGAGAAGATACACATGCTGATAGTCTGAGCCTACTACAAGAAATTAATAATGCATTCAGCTAACAGAGCTGCAAAAAGCATCCCATTATCTATATGCGATCTCAAATGCTTCTCCTGTAAAAAAAAAAAAAACAACTTTTCTGCAGCCAAAACCTGTGATAATGAAATTTATCTGCTCACAGCAAGACAAAATAATAAGAATAATAGTAAAAATAATACACTTTATTTATATTCCCCCTTTCTCCCCGAGGAGACTCAGAGCACATTACAGCATATATATATATACAAACACAGAAAAAACATTCAGAGTCTTGATATGATGAGACAGAAATTCACAGGCAAAGACAAAAGCTTCCTTTTTCATCTCCGGCTTCTGGAGGCAGTGCTCAGCTCTGGCTCTAGGGGAGGTGTTCATCTCCATTTACAAGTCGAGGAACCTGTGTGGTCCATAGACACTTCCTGGTTGTATGGCTGGCATGATTGCTCGGAGCGCCTGTTTGCCTTCCTGCCGAGGCAATACCTATTGATCTACTTGCATTTGCATGTTTTCGAACTGCGAGATGGCCATCCAGGATCTGCTTATAAAGCTTAAGAGAAGGAGACTCCACCACACTCTCAGGCAGCATTGTTCCATCGTTGAACAGCTCTTACAATCAGCTCTTCCCAATGTTTAGGTGGAATCTTTTTTTCTTGCAATTTGAATTTATTGTTCTGTGTCCTAGTTTCACAGCTGAACACTTGAAAGCTTAAACAACCCTATCAGTATGTTTATAAATACTGAATTCCAAATCTTGAAAATTAAGATGGACCGAGAAGGAAAATCACATCTCTAAATGCCCTGGGAACAATTATAACAAATAGTAAGGAATTATGAGAATGTGCATGGTTCTATCTGTATGGCTAAAGTATTGCAAGTAGAAATGTAGAAGAAGAAAAAGCGTATGGAGCACTTCCAAACATCAAACCAAATGAATTCAAAGTCACTGTCCATGCAAGGCTGTTCTAGCACAAGATGGAAGGCATTAAATACATATGCATCAAAGTAAGTACTCAGAGATATAAGACTCACATCTGAGAGGGCAGAGGGCTGCACTCTTCTGTAATATCATTCAGAATCACATGGGCATCCTGCATCTCTTCTCGTTCACCTTTCCTTTCTGCCACATAACCCTTCAGAGGAAGAATCTCAGAGAAATCTAAAGAGAAATCAAGAAAAGATACATGCAGGAATCAATCTCTGAGCTCCCTTTTTGACTAAAAGCAAAACAGTTACCTAATGAAGGCAAGGAAGGGGTGCTCTAAAAACATATTCAGCACAACTGTGTTTAAGCTTTAAGGCATCCATACATGGCACTCATGGCAGGGGAAGTCTCCTATGGCTGCTATGGTTATATTGCAAGCAGGGCATGGCAATTTAGGGTACCATAGCAATGACACTAATAATAATAACCATCATCATCATCTTTACTTATTACCCTGCCACCATCTCCCCAATGGGGACTTGGAGCAGCTTACATGAGGCCAAGCCCAAATAACAATTACAATAAAGAAAAACCAAAAACACAAACTGAAAACGCGAATAATAAACAATAACATCATAATTACAAAAACATATAAATACATAACAATATAAAAAATTAAAAATATGCACAGGCACAATAATAATGGGCGGGCTGTTAATCTGTTTGATTAAAAGGACAAACAGATTAAAACTAATTAAAAACTTGGGCGAGATTAATGAGGGAAGCAGGTAATTCACGGAGGAGGGCTCATTTTAGCAGGAGTTGTGGAATCAAGCTTTCCCATGAAGGGGGACGTATACTCCAATGACAGAACTTTGAGGCAGAGCAATCATGTGGGATTATATACCTACTCATCAAAGGCGCAGCGGAAGAGCCAGGTTTTAAGGTTCTTTTTGAAGATTTTTAGGGAAGGGGCAAAAGACTGACAGCAACATAGTGCTGCTCAGATATAATAATATTAATAAAACTTTATTTACAGACTGCCCTATCTCCCCAAGGGCGGTTTACGCTCACACAAACAAGGCATTCAATATCCTGGAACAAATAGGCACAATTTTTTTACAAGAAGCTGTTCAAATTGTATAAGTAATAACCTCTGAATGTGTGACAATACAAGGGTAGCTATCATACCATTAGACTAAACAACTACAACTACAGTCAGTTGTATCACAGCAAACATTAAAACGCGGCTCTCTGAAACATGCAAAAAATGCAAGTAGTACTAGAAGCAGGAGGATGGACACCGTGGTAACAAACCAGGCTATATTGCAAGAAACAGTTGGCATTACAAAGAGAACTTGTGGGGCAGAGCAGGAAGAATAAAGTCCTACATTTTATTACCCATTCAGTTTGAAAAGAGAATGTTTTATTCACATTCATTCTTCTTAATTCTGCAGATCATGTTATTGTTGGTACTTTAAGAAACAAGCTGGTAATCTACACGCTGAATTAAAAAATAATACAAAACACGACTAACCTACCTCCCAAGGCTGTTGTGAGGAGGCAGGGGGTAAGCCTCATTGCTGACTGTAACCCAGAGCTCCTCGGAGGATTAGAGGGCTACAAATGTGAGAAAGGCACTACAGTAACTGGCAAAGAAAAAGGAGCTGGGAGAAACCCAATATTTACATATGTGCGGGGCTCTGTAACTGCTTTGTCCATAGACACAAACCCACACTTGCCCTTAATTGACCATTAGCAAGACTTTTCTCAAAAAGGAAATGTTTGTTATCTTTACCCTAATTTAAAATAGCACTACAAAAGACAAGAAGTATTTGGCTTCAGATTGTCTGAAAACCTTTACAAACTTTCTTTTCCACAAGTTCTTCACTCCCATTCTTCTCCCCTTCCGTGGACTTTCTCTTTTCTCCCCTTCCATAGCTCACAGACAGAGAAACTTGTTCTGCAGGATGCGAAACTAGAAAACAAAATGTCAACAATTATTATGTTCTCTACTGTTCCATATTTACAAGGGCAATTTCATTTTTTAAAAAACCCTGATTCCATAAAACTATGCTCTTAAGTGTTGCTGCAACATTGTTTTGGTAACTGATGTCAGAAATATAAAAAATTAACTAGGCATTTTTAATTACAAAAATGTGAATCAAGCACTGAAAGGGTTAAATGGATGCAATAACTCAGCAAAAGCTGCAGTCCTATATAAGCAGGTGTGCCCGTAGCTTAGTAGCCGTCAGTCTGAGGTAAACCTCAGTGAGAGAAAGGTTTACGTCTGTGAGAAGGCCTCACAGTGTGAGGTAGGCCTGTCTGTGAGAGAAGCCTCTGTGTGAGGTGCTTCAGTGAGAGAAGCCCCAGGTTGAAGGCCTTGTGTGTAAAGCTGTGTGTAAAGCTACTGCGTGCAGTTCCTGTGTAAGTTCGGTGTGAGAAGAGGTGCTGTGCATGAGGAAGAAGTTCGGTGTGAGAAGAGGTGCTGTGCATGCTTCCAACATGGAAGCAAAGAAGGAAGTATAAAGAACTTTATTTGGGTTATGGAAATCTTGTTCTTGTAAATAGTGCAACCATATTATTTTACCTCAAAGAAAAGCCTCCTATGAAAGAGATAACATCGGCCTGTGTGTTTTTGTTCTTTTTATCACTTTGGGCTACTGGTGCTGGGTCACGCTGCTGCTAATAAGTTACTCTGTTATACAGTCATAAGGAGGGTCTTTTGTTAATAAGCCCACTTGTCCAATGACTGTTTGGGACCAAATTCCTTTCATGTTTCTGCTATAGGTCATCCCAGCCTTTTTTATATAATCAATCTGTTGAAGTCAAAATGGGGGACTTAATACTTTCTGAATCTTACAGTCCCATGTACACAGAGGCACTGAATACACCTTACATTACATCTGAAGGAGACAGTTTAAAAAAACAACAACTGTGGTTGAGACTGCACTGGGAGATATATCTCTGTCACGTGGTTATGTCTCATGGTACGACTATCTAAAACTCAATTTTTGAGTAATGCAGTTCTCTCAACACAGTGATGTCTGTGTTGTTGGGGAGTGGGGGAATCAGTGGAGATGTATCCAGATTTTTTTTCCTGTGTTATGGGCATCATCTACAGAGCTTTCCCAAAGACTTATAGCATGACTAGTTATAGGGGGAAAATAACAGGATGCATCTCCACTGATCCTCCAGCAAAATGGAAATTGCCATGGGGCATCACTTAAAAGGTGGGTTGGGTAGTTTTGGCCCTTTCACAGTAAGTAAAGGATCCTGACCACTGCAATGACTGAAAGTGGTGTGAGAGCACATATTGGCTTACCATAAAGTAACCTGCTAACAAGGTGCCAGTCTATGTTAAGGAAAAGCAGCTATGAAGAGGAAGGCTTTGGAATTGACAAAACTCCTGGAAAGCCGAATAACACATTCCCTTATGACTGCTTCTGTATTAATTCACCCTCTCCTAAAACTACATCTTCCAAAGAAAACATTCATTGGGATTCCACGTCTGCATGCTACACATAGTGTGGCTTTTGCTTGGGAATATGCTTCACTGAAATTTGATTCTCAATGGAAATGCTATGAACAAATAATACATTCGTGAGGTGAATTGTGTGGCCCTCCACATATAGCTGAAATGCAGCTCCCTGAATTCCTTTTCACTGGCTATACTGGCTAGGGCTGTTGAGAACTGCAGTTCAACAATTCCAACTCTTTCCAGAGCTTTCTCGACTACAGCTCCCAGAGTCCCCAACCAGAAGACCTAGACTCAGGACCCTCCCACACAGCCCTATATCCCAGAATATCAAGGCAGAAGATCCCACTTTATTTGAGTGTGAACTCAGATAACCTAGCTCAAAGCAGATATTGTGGGATTTTCTGCCTTGATATTCTGTGATATAGGTTGTGTGAAAGGGCTCTATGACACATACCCCTGAATATAAACAATCTAACATTTAGCTCAAGTGGGATAGAGAACTCTTGTGAACCCCAAGGCTAGAGAACAATCTAGAAAAAGCCCAAGCAGGATGAAAGTCTACTGATCTAAACAACCCTCAACTGAAACAAAAGGAAAAATGGTTTGCATCAAAGTTTTAGGCAACTGGAAAAAGTAAATTATCTCCCTCCTTTCCCTGGTTCTCGGGGGCATAGAAAAATGGTAAGTTTGTGGACAGATGGAACAAGGTTTGCCCATTCAAAATAAGAGCAGAATGTCTTTCCCTCATTCTGAATTTCCACTGCAATGTGGTTAATCACTAAATCAGAAAGGCTACATCAAAGATGAGAGACCTTTGTTCCTCTGGATGTCTTAACCTACAGTTCCCATCACTGACAGTCAAGCATAGTCAATAGTAACTGACTGCTGGAATTTCAAAATATTTTGAAGGCCTAAGATTCCACTTGTGGGTTACATGATGTTATCAAACTGCCTACATTCCCACCCGGTAGAAGTAATGTAGACATTGCTGCCATGTAATCATTTTTCAAAGAGATACTACCCAGATTGTTGACTGCTGCAAAGGGATCTTCCACTGAACAAAAAGCAGAGCACAAAAGAAGTGTAGTTTTCATGGGACATTTCACCTCCTGCAAACCATCACTTATAGCACTGAAAATTTTCCCTTTGATGTAGACTACAGATTAACCAACAATTAAAGGCATCAAGCAAGTGTGACTGGGCTCACCTGGGTTCCCACTGCTGGCAGGTGGGAGATCATCGAAAAGCAAAGAGCTCCCTGCACCTTAAAAGACAAGAAGGAACAGGCTTAGGATTTAGGCTTCATCACAAACAGATTTCTGGGATAGCATCATAGAAGAGATGAAATTATCTAACATAATTCTGCCATGGTAAAGTATTGCCTGAATTATTTGCTTGTTCAGCAGAGGCCACTGAATCTAGCACATAAAAATGGAAGGAGTAGGAGAACACACATTGTCTGGGAGCACACTGCCATTTCCTTCCTGCCTAAGCCAAAGTGCACTCACACTGTCTCCCCTTGGAAGCTTTTGAGGGAGGTTTTAGACAAGGCACAAAGGGCTAGAGGATACAGACAGCCCCTGAGTTACAAACGTCCAACTTACAAACAATTCACAGTTAAGAACGGGGTTGAGACAACAGGGAGTGAGAGGAATCTACCTCTTGAAAGGAAAAATCACTCCTAAATGAGTTAACGTGGGGGAAAGATGTCTCCACTGACATTTGATCACCAATCCTTGTTTCCACAACAAGTCAATTTTTTCAAAATCCAATTTTCACAGGGACAGGAAGTGAGGTGAAATCTTTTGAACAGGGGCATAGAGAGCAAAACAAACATCATAGGGGCCTTAACCCTTCCCTGTGCTATCCAAAGCGAGCCAGTTTTAAACATGAATTTTAAATTCTGTAGAGTTTCAGGCAGAGGGATTTCAGAGTCCTACATGGAGATGGCAAAAGCTGAATACAGAGCCATACAAACTATGACTTTTGTCCAGCAACACTAGTTGTCTCTAAAGACCTACTTCAGGATAAATTCTCAAGAACAGGATGTTTTACAGATGTGGGACAGGTAGGCATGTTTGCTAATTAGCTATGGCACACAGACATGAATAAGGAGGTTGTTTTTACCATGATAGGACAGGGGAAGAAAAATTCCATTTTCGCTTTCTACTATACAGCAAGTTGTCTATGCATTGTCAATAATAGCCCTGCTGTCGCTCAAAACATTACCAGAAACACAAATACAGAAAGGAAACCAGCCTGAGTCCCTTCGGGGAGAGAAGTCCCAGTTAGAAACATATTATTATTATCATTATTATTATTAATAGTAGTAGGAGTAGGAGTAGCTGAATACCAAAGTAAAATTGAATACAGTAGCTTAATATAATGATACTTCCCAACAGTTAACCCTTGCGGGTCACAAATGTCAACTATTCTCTATTATTAATTTGAAAATATGGTTATGCTAACACAGAGCAAGAGGCCATACTAACTCCAACCACTGGTTCCTCTTCCAATTGGTGCTGATAAGTAAAAGACAAAATACCCAGAATAACCATACCCAAATCAGTGCTGCTGACTGGTGGGAGATCATCAAAAAGCAAAGATCCTCTCTGGTCGCCTTTATCTAGAAAAACACACCAGAAGACAAAATTAGAAGAGACCCTTGGTCACAAAGAACACAACAGAGGAATCACATGGCTTATTTCTATGTTGAAACTATAGAAATTACTCTGGGCCTCCTATATCCACAACACCAGCCGGAATGGGGTAACCATGAATTCCTATAAGGAGTGGCTTAGGGAGATAAGGATGGTTACCCCAGAGCAGTGGTTCTCAACCTGTGAGTCCCCAGATGTTTTGGCCTTCAACTCCCAGAAATCCTAACAGCTGGTAAACTGGCTGGGATTTCTGGGAGTTGTAGGCAAAAACACCTGGGGACCCACAGGCTGAGAACCACTGCCCTAGAGAGATTACATGATAATTATGTTTAAACATTTGAAAAGATGTCACACTGAGGAGGGATCAAGCTTGTACGCTCAACGCTCTCTACATGGGGTTGCCTTTGAAGACTGTTCGGAAGCTTCAATTGGTCCAATGGACGGCAGCCAGATTGCTAATAGGAGCGGCGCTCAAGGAGCAGACAACCCCTCTGTTGCACCAGCTCCACTGGCTGCTAGTTTGCTACCAGGCACAATTCAAAGTGCTGACTTTTCTGACCCAACTTACCTGTCCGAATGCATCTCCCCTCATGAACCTTCTAGGACTTTAAGATCATCTGGGGATGCCCTGCTCTCGATCCCACCTTCGTCACAAGTACAGTTGGCGGGGACGAGAGAGAGGGCCTTCTCAGTGGTGGCCCCTCAGCTATAGAATGCCCTCCCTAAGGATATTAGATTGGCCCCCTCCCTTTTAACATTTCGGAAGAAAGTTAAGACTTGGCTTTTCAAACAAACGTTTGCAAATACAGCATAACGGACGAAGGAAAATGGACTGACTGGACGAATGTAATTGGACAATGTTTTAATAAGGAGACTTGAATGACACATGTTTTTAATTGGTTTTATCATGCTTTTATATTATCTTAATTTTTTTTATTGTATTCTTATGTTTTGATGTTGCATGTAAACTGCCCTGAGTCGCCTGCAGGCTGAGAGGGGCGGTATACAAATGTAGCAAATAAATAAATAAATACATTAATAGGGTAGTCAGCCTCTCCCTTCCTGACATCCCCCTTGCCTCAGCACTGTAGAAGGGCTTTGCAAGACCAGTTGCTCTCGTGGTCGCATGGTTTTCAGGCAACAGTGTAGTAATGTTAAGGCCATTGACCATATTTTCCTTTTGGGGGACCGCTAGTGGTCTACGCACCACAGGTTAGGAACCACTGACCTAAACATTAGGAAGAATTTCCTGACAAGAGTGGGGAAAATCTTCCTGACTCTTCCAGCTGTTAAGAAGTGTGGGAGTTGAAGTTCAAAAACCTGGAGGGCCCAAGGTGGCCCATGCCTGGTTTAAAGTATGGTCTAGCGAGGAGATATAGTATTAGTTAGGCCAATTTAATATCATCTGGAGAGGCCCTGCTCTTGGTCCCGCCATCATCACAAGTACGGTTGGCGGGAACGAGAGACAGAGCCTTCTCAGTGGTGGCCCCTCGGCTATGGTACACCCTTCCTAGGGAGATTAGATCAGCTTCCTCGCTCCTATCATTCCGGAAGAAGCTTAAGACATGGCTATTTGAGCGGGCATTTGGAAATACGGAGTAACGGATATAATAATGGAATAACTATATGGCGGAACTGGACATTGTTTTAACGATTATCGATTGAAGTGTGTTTCATTATAATGTCTGATTTTATTGTTGCTGATGTTTTTTATATTTATATTGTAATTGTGTCCTTGGTGGCATTGAATTCTTGTCTTGTAAAACGCCTCGAGTCGCCGGAAGGCTGAGAGGGGCGGTATAGGTAAAGGTTGTCCCCTGACATTAAGTCCAGTCATGTCTGACTCTGGGGTGTGGTGCTCATCTCCATTTCTAAGCCGAAGAGCCGGCGTTGTCCATAGACACCTCCAAGGTCATGTGGCCAGCATGACCGCATGGGGCGCCGTTACCTTCCCGCTGGAGCGGTACCTATTGATCTACTCACATTTGCATGTTTTGGCAGAAGGAGGGGCGGTATAGAAATGTACTAAATAAATAAAATAAATAAAATTTTAACTGTCACTCTCAACTAACAGAAACTACATTTACTCAGTATCTACCAAATCCCACGAGTGCGGGTTAACTGAGTCTTCTCTCTCTATAAATGCACACTCATGCACACAAGCCATGCAGCTTCTGCCTGTCAATACCTGACACGTGTATTTGTGGATGCGTTCACACGTGCTCGCGTGTCACAGTGTTTGCAAGAGGAGTTCATGATGCGGGTCTCCCTTCCTTCCCTCCCTCGCTCCCCCACAACTATGGCCACCCTCCATCGTGGGCCCCAGCCCAGCCCCTTCATTCCCCTCCTTCTCCAGGGCTCACCGACTGCTGAAGGCGCCGCAGAGGCCTCCTCCTCCTCCGGGAGGTCCCCGAACAGATCCATCCGGCCTGAGCTGCAACTGCAGCACCGACGGCTTCCTCTTCCTCTCGCCAAGGCCGCCCGAGCTGCCAATCGTCTGCAGAAAGCCGAACGGAATCCCGCGCTGATTGGCTGCCCTTCGCTTCACGTGCTTCTGCGTCACCTTAAGGGGCGGGGCTAGAGCAAAAAACAAACAAGAGCAGTGCTGGACTTCAACTCCCAGAAGCCTCAGCCAGCTTGGGCGACGACTAGGAATCCTGGGAATTGAAGTCCAAAATTATCTGGAGGCCCAAAGCAGTGGCAAGCACGTTTCTCGGCGCCTGAAAACCGCACATCTCTCACGAAGCGCTTCCTCTCTGATGGCGGGGGGCGGGCGTATCTCTTGTCAATCACGGCCTAGGCTGGCGCTGAGGTTGTTTTTATTTCTCCTCCACTTCCGGAGGGTCTTCTTTTTCCGGGGCTCATGGGTAGCCAAGCACCTCCTTCCCCCAAAGGTCATCCGGTGGCGCAGTGGGTTAAACCCCTGTGCCGGCAGGACTGAAGACCAACAGGTCGCAGGTTCGTGAGAGAAGCCTCCCACAAGGATGATAAAAACATCAAAATCATCCAGGCGTCCCCTGGGCAACGTCCTTGCAGACGGCCAATTCTCTCACACCAGAAGCAACTTGCAGTTTCTCAAGTTGCTCCTGACACAACCAAAAAAAATAAATAAATCTGTAATATAGAATTAGCACGGCCCAGCCAAGTTGTCCTACTCCAGAGCAGTATCACCTCTGACTTTAAGCACCACACCAGCTGGGTAAAATCAGCAAGCAGTTTATTTAGGAATATATGTAGCCAAAGCAGTAAAAAGTAATCCACAATAAAAGAAATTCAGTTTAGTTCATCAGATACAAAGGAAGACAGGAACAAAGAGTCCAAGTAAGTCCATGAAACTAGGCACTTGAATCCATGAATCTGTTGCATGAAACCCCCCTGGGCAAAAATATTATTTGTTCCCTTCGTGCCTGCAGCAGAGAGTTCCAAAGGCTGTAAACACTTAAAGTGTACCACATGCTATAAATTTATTTATTTGGGGTGCTTCTACCCCACCCTTCTCCACCCCCTAGGGGGGGACTCAGGGCGGCTTACAAAAGGCACAATTAGATGCCTAACAATTACAACATACAATGCAATATACAATACACAAATTTACCACATAATATCATAGTTATAACTAATTAAAACAATCGGACAGTATACTAGCAGCAATAAAAACATCTTGTGGTCAGTGTTCACCAAATCCAAGTCCGTAAACCATTTACCATTGTCATTGTCCTTTCCTACTCTGGTCATTATTGGGTGTCTTTGTCCATCTGCCAGCTTACCCGAAGGCCTGGTCCCACATCCAGGTTTTTAGCTTCTTCCTGAAGGAGAGGAGGGATGTTGATGTCCTAATTTCCCCGGGGAGTGCATTCCACAGGCGAGGGGCCACCACCGAGAAGGCCCTGTCCCTCGTCCCCACCAGTCTCGCTTGTGATAAAGAAGCATACGATATCAATCTCGCCACTGGCACCAATTATAGAGAAGTGTGAAGTTATATCGTATTATAAATCACACCGCTTTCCACTGAAATGGCAGGGAAAAGGTTTCAGGAAAGGAGACAAAGAGAGGTCTGAAGATCTCAAAAGCACGGATTTTATTTACCAGCTGGGGCCTGGTGTGGAGTCAACTCCCAAAAACACCAGAGCAAATGAAATAGGCGCGGACTGTGGCTTTTATAGTTTCCAGTTTCAAGCAAACAAAGAACATGCTACAACATACAGTCATCATCATCCCTACGTCATCTAGGCATCACAGAAATATCGAGTTTCCCCTTCCAACATACGAAAAGGCATGTCTGTGTCTTGCTGAAGAACAAGCATGGCTTATACTCATCAATCAAGGGGCCCTCTCTGACTTGTCAAGAGGCTTCTCACTTAGAAGGAAGACACTGGGCCTTTTCGTAAGAAGCCTCTGTGGCTTCTTATCTCTCTCTTGGAATGTTCCCCCTCCCTCTTCAGCCCCTTCTGAAGACAAGCAGTTTGCTTGTCCGTTAGCATTCTTTCTATACACAGAGGGAACTAGATTTTTCTATATTTCAATGCTTGTAAGGTACATACAATTTATGCATAAATCAATAAATATCTATATTTCCATGATCATCTCATCACCACCAATATAATGAAATACGTAGTTATCTAACACCAAGTATCCCCCAATTGAGCCTCACTGTGAAGGATTATATGTAATATACCACTACTAGACAATAATATGGTAGCGAGTTGATGTTAGATAGAATGTGTAATGGTAGAGAGAACACTGCTTCAGTCTTCTTTTGGTTTAATGCTGCCACCAACCCAAGATGTCTTAGGATTTTTAAAATGAGTTTTTGAGGTAAACTTTTTCCTTCTCTGCCAACACAGCTCTCCCCTTAGCTCCCAAAATGACTGCTTGGAAGATCTTTCTGTGGTATTGGGATGTTAATGATGCTTGAATTATCACCAAGGATTACAGATAGATTGAGGAACGATAGAGACCTTTTTGAAAGTTAAATAGAAAAAGATTTATTTATAAAAATAACAACTAACTTCTTATTCTGAGAGGCACAAAACACTTGACTTGTTACAAAAGTTACTATAGCTTGATGGTTGCTTGAAAAGAGTTTCTTTACTTGGTTACATACAGAGCTATTCAAACAGATATAGCTGCTGTTACAAAAATCCCTCACTCTACTTCAGAGAAATAGCAACGAGTTTCTGACAAACCTAACCTAGGTAGTCCCCTGAGTTATCAGCTAACTCTCCCAGAGTTCTTACAGCTAACTAACTCGGTCTAGAGAGCTAATCCCTTGTGCTATCTCCCACAAGACATCAGGTAGCTGTCTGACCTTCCCTGCCAGCTAATCAGCCCTGCCTGAACCAGACGCTCTCTCTCTGAAGAGAGAGAAACCCAGTTTCCAAAAACACTTCTTCCACCAGCTCCCAATCCTCATCTCCACAGAAGCTGAAATCTTTTCCCTCCTAAGACTTGGCTCCTCCCCTCTGTTTTAGCCAATCCCAGGAGACCTCAAACTCCTCCCATTTTCTAGCTATCCTCACTCAAGATGGCTGCCTCCCTGGCATACACTCTCAAAATGGAGGTTTGCCCTACTGTTATCCAGGCTTCCTTTTCGACCTACTAGGTAAGATTCACTGCACATACACAACAGATAATGCAATATATTGTATTTTATGCCCATGTGACCTTCTCTAAATTGGAATGACCACCAGACCTGTCAAGATCAGGATCATGGAACATCGCTCACACATAAAAAACAAACACAATGATAGTACTCTTTATTCTCATTTTCTGGAAAAAGGACATACATTTATCAACTTCAAGTTTTTCATTATAGAAAAAATCCACACTAAGCCACACATGGACACTAAGAATTATCCTTTGCAAAGGGAAGCTTTCTGGATTTTTAAGTCAAATACAGTGTTTCCTACTGGTCTTAATGATAGACTGGCTCTTAGCTGTTTTTTTTTTTGGTTTTTTTTGTAATAATCCACATTATCCACCTTATCTGCTTGGAATTTACACTTCAGCTGACTGTCTGCAATTAGCCTTGCCTTTAAATCCTCGCTTTTGTGTAATTGCATTGCTCACTATCGAAAACCTAACTGTAGGGCCAGCTTCATACCGTAGATAATGTAAGTAATAATGTGTGTAATCTATTTTATTAGAATGTATATAATTACTTTACCATTATTGAATGTTTGCTTTGGGTGCCTTTTTGGCATATATATTATGTTGCTTGTTATCACCCATTTAGGGATTTATTATGAATCACACTCTCTTATGAAGAAGTTATAGAAATCCCAAAGAAGGGGAAACAACGCATCTTAACCCGGGGATCTTTGTCAGACAGTATTTTGAACTATATGGACATTATTTTGGACTTCAGTTTACTTTCTCAAGGACTACTCCAGTGTTTAATTCATCACTTCAAAGACTGTGTAAATATTTTCTTAATACTTATCATTTGTTGTGAGAGTTCAAACAAAAGAGTGATGATACTCACCGCTGTCATGAGTAAAAGGAATATATATCATTTGGAAGAGTGAATTTATAACCCTCAAGCCTTGAGAAAACTCTAGAGGGAAATTACTGAGTAGCATTTAGACTTATACCCTATGCATTTTCTTTGTTATATTTATGTGCAGTTTAAACCAATTTACACAGTTAATGTTAACATAGCTCTGTGTGGATAACAGTTTACAACTTGCATGTTGTTGCTGGTCATAGATATCTCTGTTTCTTTGACATCTGTGCACGTTCAATCAGGAAACTACCTACAGACTGCCTATGATCCCTTAATAAACTGGTTACCTTGAACTTTGTGCTTCTCTTGCCCCTTCCTTGCTGTAATGTATCTTTCCCAACCATCATGTACCTCTCCTTGTTGTAATTGGGCAAGGAAGACAGCTGCTATTTCACAGGCAAGAAAGAAGTCTCATACAAAGAGGTACTGAATGCTTCTTTGCTCAGTGTTAGGGGACTGTAACTAAACAACTGCAACCTGCTCTTCCTTCAAAATAAGTCACAACGATTTCCAAAATGTATGTTAATTCCAGCCTATGATTTCTGAAGTGGAAGTGAGGTTCCATCTAAGGGGAGAGCAAATATTGCCCTCTCTCAGTGGCTAATACTCCAAAGGCAGTATACGTCAACACAAAAAAAGAAAGAAAAATAGATGAAAAGAACTGTTTCTATTGTTGTGGTTCTTATTCATTTTGCATGATCTGTTTGCCAAGTTCAGCTACCCATAAGGTATCTAGCCTGTGATGGATCTGCAAATTATCATCATATTCAAGAAGCTCATGTCTCCAACTCCCTTACCTGGTCATTGCAAATCCTTCCTGCAGACCTTCTACCCCGTGCTGCTGTGGGTTAAAGAAGCCCATGCCTTCAAATCTCTTACCTAGCCTTTGTACATCCTTGTTGAGATCTACTTGGTGACTACTCTGGGCTCAAGAAGTTCATTACTTCAAATCACTTACCTAGTCATTGTAGATCCTCTACTTGCTGAGTGTTGTGGATTGAAGAAGC